GATTTTAAGGAAGATTATTTATGTTGCTAAGTAGCAAGGATCTATGGATGGAACCCTGTGGTACCCCAGAAGTTACTGAAAATGAAGAAGATTTAGACTTCTAGACGAATTTATTACTTCGGTTAGGAAAAATTAGTTTTCAAAAGTTTTTCCAGATACACTAAATGAAGCCAGCTAATGGAAAGGACCATCATGTCATACTTTATCAAAACTCTTTGATATACTACAAGAAATAGCTCTTATCTCAGCCTTTCTACCTAATGCGTGATCTTTCAGTTAATCTAATGGTTAACAAGTCAGTATTAAAGCAAGAGAACCGAAATATTGGTCGTCAAGAGTAAATTGTTAGACTCCAGTTAAGATGTTAGATGATGGTTAATTAAAGATTCAAAGACAGGTCAGCAAAAAAAAAAATTTTGTTTTGTTTTAGTGCCAAGCTAACAGTGCATTTTTTGTATAGAACTTTTCATTTTGATTTCAAATGTCTCTCATTTTTCACCATCACTTCAAGTTGCAAAGATATTTGGCTTCAAATCTTTATCATTTAGGGTACATTCCTTAATATTGTCAAAAAAGTTATTCAAAAGTATGTCAACCTAGGTCTCAAAAGAAAGTTATTTTTTAAGAGATTTCAGAAAACATAAATATTTTTTCTTTGGGATGACAGAAAGAGTATGGTCATTAGATTTAATAAGAAAATTAGAGGAGCAGTTCTTTACAAATAGTTCTGTTTTATCTTTGGAGAAGGAAAAAAAAATTGATTTATAAGAGGCCGAATGTTAGGAATGTTAAAGTTGACATTGTTAAAGATTTTTCTGTCTCCTGAATGTAATGGTTAAAAATGGCTTTTAATGAACTTTTTGTATTAAAGTCATCAAAGTTAATTTTTTTTTTTTTAATATTTATTTTTAACATCTTCACCTCCAACAAGGCTGCAAGCAATTAGACATAAAAGTTATTGGATGAGAAAGATGAAGTTCATAAAGCAAGATAATGATTAACAGGCGACTTAAAAGATTGCAAATTTTATGAATCAGGAAAACAAGAAGAATAGAGCAAATTCCATAGAACTAATGTTTGAAAAAAATTACTAGACTGATAAGAATTTTCAATGCACTTAGGAACAGTCATAGTAAAAGGATGAGACTTGATTGAATGACAAATAACACAAGAATGAATTTTAGTAGATGACACAAGAGATGCTAGCTTTTTAGAGCAGTGCTCATTATAGTATTTATAGAAAAGAGAAAAGAAATAGAAAAGAGAAGCAACATCTGTATTATAGAAAAGAGAAAGGGAACAACGATGTGTTGAATATTGGCTGCAAGGTTACAACTATGGTTGAATATTGGCTGCAAGTGCAAGTCCAACTATGTTTACAATACATTTTTGCACCTTGTCTAAAATAGAAAGGGCATCATTCAAAGATCCCTAGATATAGCAACAGTATTTTATACATAGTTGAAAAGATCATAAAATTCTTTTGAATGCAAAGAACCTAAGTAAAAAGAAATATAAAATATTTGGCAGTCCGATAAACTTTTCTGTAATTTAAATAAAAACTTATAATTTTATAAAACCATTAGAAAAGATTTAAAATTATTTATTCTAAATGTCAGGGCTTAATTTAACAGTCGGATATTGGACATTGTCCGGCTAAAACCTCAGATTGTCCAATCAATTTACAAAGTCATCGGACATTTTGTCAGGCAAGATTTTTAATTCTTTAAAATAAAATTTTACTCGTTGATTTGAAATTGACAAATTTAAACTTAATGTAAACTATTAGACAAACTTATAAAATATGTTGATAATGGAGGAATTCATTCCCAAAAAAAGCGCTGTTATTAATTGTAGTTTTAATGACTGTTCTTTAACAGTTTTATTGTTATATTACTAAATTTAAAATTATTGTTTATTTAAAACAGTCGCAAAAGTCAAAGTATTTTCGATTGATTACTGCAAACACCGTGGACACCGAAAAGCAAAGAAAAGCTAGCAGTTTGAAAAATTTGATAATAAAAGATTTTACAAATGTGTTTTTTTAGAGGCTGAGATCTCATCTATGGAATATTTTTAAAAAAACATTAAGAAAATATACATTTAAATATTAACGTTATAATCATCCAAATCATTCTACTCTCGGTGGCATCCTGGTCCTACTCGAGTTTTCCGATTCTTTATTTACTATTCGTTTTTTAAACTATATCTTTATTTGTATTTTTTTTCTTAATTTTTATTTTATACATATATATATATATATATATATATATATATATATATATATATATATATATATATATATATATATATATATATATATATATATAAAAGATTAAAAAGTTCTAGCTTTATAAAACTTGTCTGCCAAAGAAGGAGTACCTTTTTGAAAAGTAGATAAATAATAACCTGTAGAACTCATAAAATTTTCTTCGTTGAATTGATCGAATTTTAATGACATGCAGCGCGTGGAATTTTTAAATTAAATAATAGCCCGTAAATATTATATTGCGTTTGATTTAACCGCCTTTAAATAAGTAAAAGCGAAGTTTAAATTTTTTATATCAAGTTTAAAAATAATATGTTTGTCTTAATATTTAATATATTAAAGACATTATTATACTATATTACTATAACAAACTTGTTTTCTTGCCGTTTTTATTATTGATAAAAATAGTTACATGAATGCCGTATAAATACCTTTTTGGCGCTAAAAGTGGAGCTTATGCACAAAATTGACACTTAGCATATTATATTTTTTTAAGTAAAAAAGTTTACATAACTTTTATAAACCGGTAACACAATTCAATGTAAACTAACAAGGTTTTCGAGAGAAAAAAACTCAATAAAACATTTAAGAACTATCTTTTTAAAGAAATATCTTTTTCCTGTGTTCCTTTTAACTAAACAAATATGAATATATGTAAATATTGGTGAAAATTATTTGTTTAAATTTTATTTCAAAAATTTGATCGGACAATGTCCGACCAAAAGTTATTTTGGTCGGACATTGTCCATTTTGTCTGGGAACTTATAAAAAATTAAATTAAGCCCTAAATGTAATTATAAATTTAATTTAAAATAATTGTTTATGTTTTAGTTATGCTAACTCTAAGTTTTATTTTTTTAGAGTTTTTTATTTTATTTTACCTGTTTTTGTGTATGTTTTTTTACTTTATTTTACCTTTTCTTTTGTTGAGATTTCTTTACCTTTTTTTGTGTATGTTTTTTTTTAATTTTTCTCTTTATTTAAGTTAAGCTCTTTTTTTTTTTCAACGCATTTTTGAAATGTTTAAATTTCAAAGCTGTTGTCAAATTGTCAAAACAATATATATCTGGTCAGTAATAGCGTGCAATTGGACACCATTGTTGATGTTCAAAGACTGTGATCTTTCCAATTTTGCTTTTATAATGCATTCATTACAAAATTTACTTTTTGCATAAAATTTATTTATATTAATTTGTGATTCACAGGCCACAAATGCCTCTGAATTTAACTGTTTAATTGCAAACTTATTTAAATAAGTTTGCAATTTAACAAGCTCAAATTACTGTTTGTAATGTTCTATATTTAATACATAAATGCAGCTCCAATACATCAGCTATATTTAACTCAATATCTGACAAATTTTTTCTGGGTAGAAAAGTTCATTGAACTTTATTATAAAATTTCAATAAGACAGGAAATAATTAAATATCTATATATCACCGTAAATTGTATTTAATTCTGAACTGATGATTTTAAATATTTGCATTTATATTAAAAAAGTTTTTAAAATTTTATTATTCAAAAAATTTAATATCAAGAAAATATCTGTTCAGAGTTTCAGCAACAAATTTCAGCATATACTCAGAGATAAATATTTCAGCATAAATGCAACAAAACCATAAGCAATGAATTTGTTCATAGTTACCAGAAGTCAAGACATAGTACAGTTGCCACCTGGGCTGCACCCAATTTTTGGCTTAATAAAAAACTCTTGATGACTGTACTGATGATCAAAGTTAAAAACGACTCAAATGGAAAATAAAAATAACTAAAATTAAAAATTGGAAAACAACCACATATTGAAGCTACTTCAAAGTATATCCAAAGAAAAGTATAAAAAGATGTCAAATGTTTTAAAAGGATGCAACTTTGTATAGATAAGTAGGCTGCATTCAATTTTTGGTTATTTGAATTCTATAAATTCTTAATGACATACAATTTTTTTTTATACAACTTGGTAGTTATTTTTTGCATGTTTTGATAATTTGTACATTTAAAATATGCGCTGAAAAACTAAACTAATTTAAAGAGAAAATTCAAAATAAAGAAGCCATAAACTGAAAAGGGAAACAAACTTAACAATGATAAAATAAATAAAGGATAAACCAGAGAAAATAAAAACATAAAAATATATTTTTAATTTAGGAGAGTCTCAATTTTAATAGTTCAAACCTAATAATTAATTTAATTTAAAAACATCTCAATAGTTTAAACTAAATAATTTTTTCTTAATCACTACGCTAGTGTAGCAATCACTACGCTAGTGTAGCAATCACTACGCTAGTGTAGCAATCACTACGCTAGTGTAGCACTACAAGGTTGATTGTGAGTCATGACATTTTTTATTTTTTTTAGTTTTTATTTCTCTTTTTAGTTTATGGTTTCTTTATTTTTAAATGTTAGTTTAAGTTTATATTTGTATAAAAAAACTTGCAAAGAGCCATGGTTGAATTGTCAAAACAAAACATTAAATGTGTAGTCATATAAAGCATGTGACTTTCCTGAATTCTTTTTATGTGTTTTGATTATAATAAATCATATTTAAAAAAAAAATATTTCATATTTTGTAAAATTTTATATGTATAAAATAACTAATCAAGTTGTGGTGATTACTTGTACTTTACTTATATGTTGGACATTACTGAAGTTATTTGATGCTATTTTAAAATAATTTAGTAAAAAATAGAATAAATAAATGCTTGTAAAAATATATTTATAAAAGTTTTTTTAGTCTTTGCAAGGTTTTGTCAACAAGCACTTAAGCAAGCTTGATCTTCAAATACAAAACCTGGATACACAGGTAAAAATTTATTACTTTTTTATAACTTGAAATTTCAAATTAGAAGGTATAAAAAATAAATGACAACAAATTTTGTCATTAAAATCTTCTGTTGTTTCTATCTAGTTTTTGTATCATTTAGCAAACTTCTGTAGAATATATTTGTTTTTTTGTGTCATTTAGCAAAGTTCTGTAGGGTATATGTGTTGTTTTGTTGTGTCATTTAGCAAACTTCTGTGGGATATGTGTTGTTTTTTTTTTTTGTTTCATTTAGCAAACTTCTGTAGGATATATGTTTTGTTTTATAAACAAAGATGCTTACATGCAAACTACCATGAGTGTGCAAACAAATATTGAGGACTAATTTGTGTATTTTTATTTTATATTGCGTACTGTAGCCGACTAATTTGCACTTATTATTAATTTAAGTGAAGTAGAGGCTTTTCTTTTTTCACACAAGTTGTTCAAGCAATTGATGCCAAGTTATGCTTAAGTACAAAGTTTAATACATTAAATCCTGCATTGATGCCAAATTGCTTAGTAAAATGTTGCATAAACCCTAAATGAAGGAAATGCACAACAACATTAAATGAAATTCTAAAACATATTCCTATAAAGTTATAAAAAATGACATTTATAAAAAGCCTAGTGTTTAATAAAAGTTAATATATTAATTATAACATAATTTTTACTCAAAATACTCAATACAACAAAATACTCAAGTACAACAAAGAAAATTTAAAATTAATAAGTTTACTTAAAATATTAAAAACGCTTGCATGCAATTAGTAAGAAAAAATGTCATTTAGTTCAGAAACATTTTGGTACTTCATGCATTTCATATACCTTTACATGAAATTAATAAAACAAATTATTTCATAACTGTATTTTTTTTTATTATGGTTCTGTGCTATTTCAAGATGCAACATTTCTGATAGAAATCAACTGTTGTATGTTCTGAAATTGGCTTATAAATTTCAAAAAAATGTTTATAGTAAGAAAAAACACTCTACTTCTCACTCTACTTGAGTTGAATCCAGCCTTCTTCCAACAGCAACACAAAAATTAATTTTTACTGCTTCTACGATTTCTCGTGCAAGAAGCATAAGGTGATCAACATAAAACTTTTTAAGCAACTTTTCAATCTTTTTTCAACTTTACAAAGTTTTTAATCAACTAAATTTTACCGAAGTTAAAGTTTTTAATCAACTAAATTTTACCAAAGTTAGAGTTTTAACAACTAATTTTACCAAATTTTTTAATCAACTAAATTTTACCAAAATTAAAGTTTTTCAATTAGACCAATATTACCAAACTATCAATGTGGTATTTGGATAATTCTGTGATAAATTACCCAATTATGACAGCTCCTGTAATTTTAAGTAATTCACTGTTAGTTTGATCTGTTTGAGTTGCTAAGGAAAAACGTAAGAATTAACAATATGGATATATATATATATATATATATATATATATATATATATCCACACAGTAGTGGCCAAAAAATTAAGGCAGGCTACGTGTTTTAAACTTTTTCAACTTATTGTTTATTTCTGGCATTATTTTATTTTTTTTTTTTAATTTTAATTCTCCTCCTCAAGGCCAAGACAGCCACTACAGACGAGGAGGCTACTTATTTGTGGCTATAACCCTCTCTCAACTCTATAACTCCAAAACACGAACCTTGACGAACAAGGCCGCTGCGCGGAGAAACAAGTTGAGCGCGGTACTACCAGGGACGTGGTGGGGATCGAACTCGGAACCACTCGTTTATGAAGCGAGCGCTCTACCACTACACCACTACCGCATATTACCTTGAATACAAATAATTTTTTTATTATATTTTGATTTTTGAAGATATTTTGATTTATTTTACACTGTCAGGTTGCCATAGGAGTGATATTATGGGTAAAAAGCGTGATGTTAATAACTTTGTTAAAGGTAAAATAAATGCTTTGTTTTCGGAGGTTTATTCTCAAAGTAGTATAGCAAAAAAATTAAAAATACTAAGATGTATCATGCAAAATGCTTTACTTGTGCAAGACTCATTAAATTGCAAAAATTGTGGCATGAAATGTGTGAGTGCAAGACAGTTTTTTAAGGAAAGTTGTTAGTAGTGAGCCTCACACAACATCTGCAAGGTTATCACAACTTGCTATGGAAAGAGGACTTACTATTAGTTTGAGAACAATTAGAAGAAGGTTGTGTTATGAGTTTGGTCTAGTTGCAAGAAGATCAGCTAAAAAACCTTTATTAACTCCAGCTCAATTACAAGCTAGGATTAAATTTTGTAAGAGTATAAAAGACAAGACACCGGAATGGTGGGAACACGTAATGTTTACAGACGAAAGTATGTTTCAACAAATTAGATGCACAGGCTATAATTATGTTAGAAGACCTGTGGGAGAATGCCTGAATCCAAAGTATACAATAAAAACAGTAAAACATCATCCTTCAGTCATGGTATGGGGAACAATCACAGTGCAAGGATGATGCGGGTTGCACATCTTTAAAAAAGGTGAAAAAGTCAATGCACAAAAGTATCTAAGTGTATTGAAAGACAAAGTGAAACTGCACATGGAAATTACTAAAACCAGCATTTTCCAGCAAGATTCAGCACCTTGTCATACAGCTAAAACAGTTAAGAAGTGGTTTACTGATAATAAAATTGAATTATTATCTAATTGGCCCTCAAGTTCACCCGATCTTAATGTTATCGAGAACTGCTTGAATATAATGAAGCAGAAAGTTGCAGCACATCAGCCAAAATCTAAAGATCATCTTCAAAAGGTTCTTAAAGAAGTGTGGACTAATGAAATCACTCCAGAATTTTATAAAACATTAGTACATAGTATGCCAAGAAGAATACAAGCCATGCTTGATAATAAAGGACATCTGATAAAGTATTATATTAAACTATAACATTCAAGTCATTTAAATTGTATTTCATTGAATATTAACAATTTCTGATCTATTTTTTTCGTTTATTTTACATTTTGTATTGCATTTATTCAATCAACAATTTACACTGCAAAATTAGAGTTATTTTTTATGACATGCCTTAATTTTTTGGCCACTACTGTATATAGATAGTAGTGTAAAAAAACTTACCGGACAAGCACATAACTTGAGATAAATTTTGAATGAAAAGTCCAATTTCTGTCAAATTTTCACTGGAATGTCAAAAAATTGATTACAATTGTAAAAACAAATGAATTTTTATTAAATCTAAGCAACCTAATCTTAAAAGTTCATTTTATTGAAATAAGTGTGTGCAAAAATATCCGGGCAGAGAAAAATACTTAAAATAGATTATTTTTTTAAACATTTTTTTAATTAAAAATGTAATTTAAAGTAAATTTTCTTTAATACTTTGTCGGAAACCTTTGGTATTAATTACTGCTTGACAGCTACAAGGCATTGAGTCTACTAGCTTCATAATCACATTGTTGATTTTTTCCCAGCCTTATTTCAGAATTTTAAATAAATCATGTTTACTTGTTGATTTTTGACCTGAAATTTGTCGATCAAGGTATTCCCATAGATGTTCAATAGGATTAAGGTCAGGACTTTGCGAAGATACATGCAAACCATAAAAAAGTATCTCAAGTTGCTCCAGTTAGTCTTGCATGCTACTGTGTGTGTGTGTGTGTGTGTGTGTGTGTGTGTGTGTATATATATATATATATATATATATATATATATATATATATATATATATATATATATATATATATATATATATATATATATATTATATATATATACAAACAATACTCTATATAATGAGATAAATTATACTTTTAAAGTTTAATATTTTTAGCAATAAAGACCTTCCAAAAAAATACTAGTAGGGCCATTATTATATTCATAATAAGAAATATAGTTTTTTAAAACAGGAAATGATAATTGAAATAAAAAAATGCATGTTTATCAAATCTATCTGTTGTTTGTCCATTTCTACAACTGAATATTGAATGAACATATTGAAATATGGCCATTTGTGTGTAGCTTTCTTGTTACATGATTTTAAATAGTATATTATATTCTTACTATTACAAGTAATATGGCTTTTTATGTTCCATAAAGTACCAGTTTAGGTACTTTATGGAACAGCCATCATCCATATCACATAAACTACCATAAAGTTGTAGTTTATGTGATATGGATGATGGCTGTTGTAGTTTAAGTAATCGTGAGTATTGGTTTCTTTATAATATATGTCAGTTTTTATTTTATTGCTGTTTTCAAGAATGATATTGATATGTCTAAGAAATATTTTTAAATTTTAACAGTTTTACCATCTTTTATGTATTCTTTTCCCAGGTCTGTTGTGAAACTAATTAAATTATCTAATTCGGTTCAAGAATTTTTAAACTTAATGATGTTCTAGTGTTTTGATGTTTTGGCCAGATTATGAAACCATCATCAGTATATCTATAATAAAATTGTTGTTGACTTCTTTGTTGAAAAAGTATTTAGGTAAAATTTTAGGAAAAAGTCTTGTTTCTTCTAAAAATTAATTGTGAAACAAGCATAATCTATAGCTTGTAGTACAACTTCTCCTTTTAGTACCCATGGCAATTAGTACCCATGGCTGTCATAGTTGTAGCATTTGATTATTAAATAAAAAGTTATTGTTTTTTAGATAAAAGGATGCTGGTTCCATAATAAAAATAAGGGGTAAATCTTTCCTTTATTAAATCTTTAAGTTTCACGATTCAGAACTTCAATAATTTTTTGTTTTGTTGACAATAGAAGATAAAATTATATGTAAGAACTGACATAGATGTAATGTTGGTGAGTTGATTCCAGCAATAATCTTTTAGATTTTTTGGTATATTGCTAGGTTTCCATTAAAAGTTTGATGTAACCTTTTTCATTATAAGTGTTTGTGGAAACCAGGTCTTGATGAACAAGTTTGTTGTTATAAGTGTTTGTGGAAACCAGGTCTTGATAAACAAGTTTGTTGTTATAATAAGTTAAATCCATTACAATAAAAGTTTTTCCTTTGTCTGCTTTCTTAATATCTTTTATTTCTTTTAAATCTATTCTTTTTTAACGAGTAATTTTATTAACTGAATGTATTTTAATAGGTTTCTTGTTCAATTTTTGAAATTTTAGACAATTTTCTATTTAATTTCATTTTTTATAAAAAATATATAAGAGTATAGTGTTGAGACTCTTCAGGTTTTCTTTTTTAAAAATATCTCTTTGAAAAAAAATCTCTTTAAAAAATCTCTTTAAAAGTTTTTTTTTTTTTTTTTTAGTTTAATGATGGAGTTAATTTTATCTTGTTGATTGGCTTGCTTGAAGGATATTTTGTTCCTTTATATCAATTTCACATGACACCACAAAGTAGTCATCAGAAGGTATTTTCTATTTATTTTTCAACTAATATACTTTCAGCCAGGATGGAAGCAACCACTATTTGAGTATAAATACAGTAAAAAGACTTTGCTAAATGATCACAAAATTGAGTTTTGGTACAAGAGATAATAGTTCGTTTGAAATGTGGCCATGAAAAGTTTATGTAGAAAGCAAAAAAGAGATCTTATGATAATAAGCAGATAATGCAAATATCTGATCATTGTCATAATATTTACATATGTTTTTGGATCAGTCATTTTTGGAGGAAAGAAAAATTATCATTAGAACCAGATGAACCAGACCAAATATACTTCCATACAGTGATGAAGAGATTTGTAGAGGTAGAGGAGAGTAAGGAAATAGCAAGCATGATGAGTAGATGCCAACTTTGAAATGGATTGTGTATATGGTTTCCATGAGAGGACAGTAGTGAATGCTAAATTAAGACGTAAAGTAGAAGATTTTGTAAGAGTATTGCCATTCATCAATATAAGAATATCAACAGCATTAAAATTATTTTTTGTAAAACGTCATGTGGTTCATATTGCTGTATATAATTTTTTAAAACAATAGGGGCAATCACACTTTTAAATGAAAATTCAGGTGATGAAAATTATCAAGATAAACAATATAAAAAGCAATAGGAGTTTTTATGGTACAAATGAGGAAAAAGCTGCAGCAGTTTGGGAAGCAAATCTAATCTTCGTTCTCCCAGAATGATGTAAAAGGTTGCCTACCCACATCGAGCTAATGTGCTGTGTTATTCACACTTTGCAGCTAGCTAATCGTGATGCTTTAAAAGAAACATGCGTTACCCAACTTTTGGCAAAGGTCTAGTATGTTATCTATCTTAAAAATTCATAATGTATTTCAAGCTGCAGTTTATATTGATGTTAGATGTCGAATACTGTTAGAAGAAAACCAGATAATACAAGCGAAACAAGGTATAAAAGCAATAGCCGATAAAATTTATAAAAGAGATGCCAGAAGTATAAAAGTCAAGAAATAAAGCTGAATTATCTACAGCACTTCATTCAGTTTTAGGTGAATCTAATTCTGATGAAGAAGACAAGTTTAAAAAAAAGCTTAATAAATTTTTTAAATAAAAATATTTTTAATACTATTTTCATGGATGGCTCTAAAGTTATGAAAGAGATTGTACGTTTAAAAGTGAAATCGGCTTCTGAGAAAATTGAAGAATACCCAAAATGGATTCAGAGGTGTGCAGAGTAGTCATTTTTTTGAGGAGTTGTTTCAATGTCTAACAAGGGTTTAAACTGTTTCTCTGGGATGATAGGAAGAGTATGGTCATTAGAATTAAGAATCTTTGCAAGTATTTCTGCCTCGTCCTTAGGAGAGGTAATAAAATCAGAAACATGCATGAGAGATTGTTTTTTTTAATGACACTGTTAAAAAAACATTTATGAGAGCTCAAAGTTTCTCTAAAAGTCTCTAGAACTTAAATTCTGAAATAAAATACAAGATTTGAAAAGTGAGAAAAATGGAGCTTATAGCACTTTTTTGCATAGATTTTTTACAGTGATTAAAAGATGCTTGTTCCAAAAATAGTTTTTTGGAAAAATGAATGTATTGAATTACATATTACCAGTAGCATGATAGTCATGATGTCAATAAACCTTTTACAATTTAAATTTATAACAAATGTAAACAGCTTAACTTTTTGTTACTTTTTGAATGTTGTACTTCATTAATTAAAAAAATTTTTTTTAAGGTTCACAATGTCCAGTTTTCTTTGCAGTTAATTGAGGATGCTGGTTTACAGAAACCCCGTGTTTTGCCTAATGGTAAGTTTATTTTAACTTTATTACTTTCATGTCATAATTTATGAATAAATAGGTAAATTTATTTTAACTTTATTACTTTCATAAATTATAAATAAATAAATAATTAAGGAATTTAGTTTTAGTCCAAAATTCAACAGTTTTTAGTTTTTTAAAAATTCAAAAAAACTTTTTTTTAAGGCAATTAAAAATTATTTTTTATAATATTTTAAAATTTTATAATATTTTAAAATATAATTAAAATTTTAATACTTATCGATAACTCGTATCATTTTTGAGAAGTCTTTTATTTGAATATTAACAGCTCAAATTTTCTTTAAAAGTTGTCTCAAAGGTTTTTTTTTAATCAAATTTCTATTAAAATCCATTTGCTTGATCTTGGTAGATAAATCTATTTTTTAATTAAAATTTGTATTCAAAAGAATTAATCTTTTTGATATACAATATTATATGTTAAGTAAGCATTTCAGTACATTAAATTAAATGCTTTTGGTTTTCAGTTCCTTTATTTATATATTTATAAGTTTGTATTGAGATTTTTTTATTTTCCATTTTCAGATATTGTTGATGGCGATTTGAAGTCAACACTCCGAGTTTTATACACTTTATTTACAAAGTACAAAAATTATAAATGAACAGATGAAATAAATGAAAATTATAATTACAGGGGTTCATGTTATAATATTTCCATCAGGCAAATATTAGGGCTCTAACTTACGCAATTACAAAAGATCTACGATATTCTAAACGTCAATTTTATTCTGCCTTTGCTCTCGATTGAATCGCGTATATTGGAGTTGTTAAAATAAAATTTGAATTTGTAATCTCCATTATATTTTATTCGTAATCTATATAAATATTTTGCTAAATTCTTGTAAATATAACTTTTGTAAATCAGTTTGGTTTTTGTTTAGTGAAAAAAATTTTGTATATTGTTCCTTGAATTTTCCTAAATCATTAATTACATTTTCTTAATTATCTGCTTATTGATTAGTAAAAATATTTTAACAGCCGGCAAAAAAAAAAAAACAATTTATCAATCATTATTCCAAAAACGTTTTCGTTGAGTTTTTTTAATGTAAAAACTAATTATTTATGGACTTTCATCAAAAGCGTTCATGGGCAGCACCATTTTAGCTCAGTGATATGACTAATTTATGTCTTCTTCTTGCTCCACCCAATTGTATATATATATTTTTATTTTACATTTTTGTAAATAAACATTTTTGAACAAATTAAACTCAACTAAAAATTAGTAAAACTCTTTTGACTCAATGCTTGAGAATTTTTTGTATGACATTTCTTATGACAAAGTTTTATAAATGTCGTTGTGTATGTGCTTTTTAGTTTACTCAAAATTTTTGTAGCAAAAAGTGGAGTATACTTTATAGTTAAACTGTCTTTTCTCATTACTCCGAATGCGGGGGGGGGGGGGGGACCTTTACTCCGAATACGGTTTGCTTCTGGTTCCGCTTTTATTTTATTTCTTGCAATTTAAATTAGCTGTGTTTAAGTTGTGTAAGTGTTGAAAATAGCTTGATACTGCTGTCACACAAAACTTGGTCGTTGTGACAGGATTTAAAGTATTACGGAAAAAACTTAACTGGTGGATTAAGCTCCTTGGGACGGACTTGTAATCTAGTGAAAATTCAAGAAATATTTCTGTAATTATCATACATTTGCATGATATAACTGCTGTGATGCTTGTTGTTGTTGATTGCTCATGATTACCTGTTGATGCCGTGCATCTGCAATATATTTTCGATAAGGTCAGAAATGTCAACTGCTCCGTGATCCCTAATTGATATAAAAGACAAAAAAAAATCCACTCTTGTTTTTCAATTGCGTGCCAAAAAATAAAAGTGACAGATTTTCATGCAAGACGCCTTAGGTTAAATAATCTATGAATGATATTTTGCAGCTTTAAGCTCAAAACAGCGAGAATTTTTTTCTGTAAAAGCAAATGTTAGCCGATAGATAGGAAGTGCTATCTTAGCCTTGGTTTCCATTAAGCCCGTTCTCCATTCAGAACTTTTTGCGCTTTGGAGAAGCGGAAAAGTTCTTTGAGCATGCGCAAACAGTTTTTTTAAACCCGTTCTCCAATCAGAATTTTTTGCGCATGCTCAAAGAACTCTTCGGTTCCTCCTAAGCGCAAATAGTTCTGAATGGAGAACAAGCGTTTAGTGTTGTTATTTTATAGTAAAAAACGGTTTGTATTTAGATGTAAGTACAAATCGTTAAAATGAACATTCTACAATGATGAAAAAAAATTAACTTTATAAAGTATATAGACTAATACAAAAAAATATATGAACAAAACATTAATTATCTGATGTATCATGCCTAAAATAAAAAAAACTAACTCGTGAGATATTTGTTAATAAGCCTAAATGAATATATACAAATAAAGCAATAGACTAAAGACATAAATAGCATTGAAATATAAAGTTACCTGGTAGAAAGAAATTGGATACCACCAAACAAAGAATACTGATACTAGGTGACGCAACGCACATTCACTATTCTTTTAATACTGTTTGACGAAATTGCAATCAACCCTGTAAATGGAATAACAAACATAGATTTATTATTATGCTCTGCTAATTGTTCATACTAACTAGTTGTCTAATAATAACCACTGATCTCTATAATAACTGGATAGCGCATCTCCTAATAAAATTTCGAAATTTTTGAAGCCAAAAGACGCCATATTGGAAAGCCCCAGAATTTATAAATCCGTAGTTGCGTTAAACTTATATGCGCTTAAAACACAGATTTCGCTTGATAAATAAAAAATGCAAAAACCTTATAAATGCATTGATTATTAAAAACTGAGTAAATCTGATGTTATATGTTCAGATTATTTCATGGAGAATGACTAAATATATATATGAGAATAAATAAATAAATATATATATATATATATATATATATATATATATATATATATATATATATATATATATATATATATATATATATATATATATATATAAATTATGTATACAGGGTGGCCAGCCACTTTCAAGAATTAAATTCCCTGACTTTTTATATTTTTCCCTGACTCAGTTATATTTTGAAGTGTGAATTTTTAAGTTTTGTTGTTTGGGAGTAAGTAAATAAAAGCCTTTAAAATAAATTAAATTTTCAAAAAAGACATTTTTCCCTGATTTTCCTGACAAGAAAAAAATTCCCTGACTTTTCCATGATTTCCAGTTAGCTGGCCGCCCTGGTATAATATTATTATAATAGCATGCAAGTGTATATTAGTATGCACCTTTTGATTCTTAATTGCCCTCTGCAAAATGCCTGAGGCTTGTAACATATTTGCAAGGTAAACAGCTTACAAGTTTGCTGTATGAATCATTAGTTAGGCAATGTGATTGTAACACAACCTAAAAGTTCCTTAGGCAACATATAGCAAATCTTTATATTTACTTTTAATAATTTTGTTCTTGCGTGTATATATATATATATATATATATATATATAAATTAACTTAACGCTTAACTGTCGAAAAATACTTTCAAGACATTTTTGTAAATGCCATTAGACATTTTCACAACACCAGAACATTTGTATAAGATATTGCAATTACAAAAGAATATGTTAAAGTAAAAAAATATAAATAAAATAATAGTTAGCTCTATCATCTTGAACAAAATAATCATTGAATAACTTGTATAAGCATTGAATAACAAAATAAACATTGAATAAAAAGGTATTATGTGGTAGGGAAAAGTAAAAAAGTATGTACACTTAGAAAAAAAATTGTTCACCTTTCATTTTGGTCTTTTATGTTGCTTATTTGTTTTCACAAGAGATATTTTAAATATTTATTAATTATACAACTAATATTTATCAGTATAAAACTGATAGATGTTAGCTGAATCATTATTATTTTACTTTAGAGTCAATAGAAAAACTTGAAAGAAACCATGTCTGTTTTCATTTATACCATATTTACATATAAACAATCAACATGTATGTGATGCTGTTATTTAGTCTAAAACACTAAATACTTTAATGTAAAACTGCAAATAACTAGTTATCACCAAATATCCAGTGTTTTTTAAAGTTAGAGATGGCTTTTTCAAACCTTCACAAAGTGTAATTAAAGTTAGCAAAGCAACAGAACAAAACATTGTTATTAAGTAATATCAATTTTAATAAAGTATTGCATAGTTGATGATATTTCAGTTGTGGAACAATATAAACATGCCCTCAGAGTTTCAAAAATTAGAAAACCATTTACAAAAATGTTTGATACAATATTTTTATCATGTTTTATACTTGTAAAGTTACTTTCCAGCTACTATTGCTAAGTAAGGTCGCATCAAGTTGTTAAAATAAACACCCAAAAGTAACCAGATCAAATATCAATTTGTCTTTTAGAAAAGTTTTATTTAGAATATCATGAATTCAATAAATTTAACAAGTTCATAGAAAGCAATACAAATTTTTATTATTTCTTTATAGCGATATTTCTCTTCGTCGTTAATGTTCTGCGTGTTTTTGATTCCCTTTTATAATTTTTACACCTTCAAACATTTTAAATATAATAATATCATTGAAATATGTGACTTGGTCGAGTAGATATAAACGAAGTAAAAAGGTACATCTTCAAGCGCAATCACTATATTTTCGGTATTCTGGGGCTTTCCAATATGGCGGCCGTACAAAATATTGGCTTCACTTTTGATATTAGAGATGCGCTATCCAGTTATTATAGAGATCAGTGATAATAACTTTCCAGCTGCTATCTTGCAAAAAAACATTATCACTGTCAGCATAATATTTTTTTTCCTCACTTGCCACTGTTTTTTTTATATATCATTAAAGATATACTTTTGCTTTCTCTATTTTAATAATATGAATACGCTAATTTAATATTAGTCGAGTTACGTCATTTTCTAGGCTTTTCTATTTTAAAGTAGTTTCTAGGCTTTTCTATACGCGGTTTTTTTTACTAACAACGCGTATTACGGGTTGCTTACTGCTAGTTTTAATTAAAAAGTAAAGCTTCAAATGCAAATAATGCAGTTATTAAATATATAGCTATCATATAATACAAAATATATAGCTATCAAACTGGTATTAAAGAACTGTGAAAAGGGAATTTTCCGGTAAAAAATGACACAGACAAAGACATCCAAATCGTCAATAAACTATGGTTAAAACCACCAATTGCAAAGTGCTATACCAAGTGCCAGCCAGCCAATAACTTTGACGAAAGCCAATAACTTTGACAAATAACTTTGATGAAAAGCCAGTCGATAAAATTGACGAAAATATATCTTGGAGAGCCCATATAAGTACATTAAACACCAAAATTTAAAAAAGTATTGGGATACTCTACAAAGTTAAACCTATGTTATCCCAACATAATCTTAAATCGCTTTATTTTTCTCACATCCAAAGTTATCTTACGTACGCTAATATTACATAGGCAAGTACACACAAATTCAAATTGAGTACTATTTACATAAGTCAAAAACATGCATAAAGATTAGTTTATAATAAAGATAAACTCACCAACGCTAAACCTTTTCTAAAAATCTTAAATGCACTAAATGTTTACCAAATCAACATCTACCGAAATGTACTATTTATGCGTAAATACAAACTTGAACTAGTCCCATCGCACTTTTTAGATAATTTCTTTCAAGCAGACTCTAATAGGTATATAACAAGAGGAACAGGCAGCTTCACACTGCCCAAAAGAACAATAAAGTTCTCACGGTTTTTTATTTCCTACCGGGGTCCGTACCTATATAATAAAATTATATTCAAAAATATAGAACTTAAAGTATTAAATAATGCTGCCAACTTGAAAAATAATTTAAAACACTTCATACTTAATATCAACAATTATATCGACATGTATTAAACTTAACATTAAATTTTATACTAAAATATTTGTGTATCACTTGCTGTATATTGTTTAACCAGTTTTGACTATATATAAAAATGAAACAGACTTTATTTAACCATTTAAAGAGGTACTTGATGATAAGTCTTCATAGACTTCTACGAGTTTTCCTTTACAACAACATGTATATATCTGAAGTACCAAAAAATTTCTTGTCTTTTTTTTTTTCTTTTCTTATTTTTAATCTTTTATTTTCTAAAAATACTGGTAACATTTATGATAAGAAACACTATTAATTTACGCTATACTTAGATATACTTGTTAAACCAATTTTTATTATGCTGTGTTATACGTGGTATTATTATCATATATTTTTACATTGGATTATATTGTGTCATGTAGTTATAACGTAACGATGTGTAAATTTATTTAAAAAAATCAAAGTGTATTGAAACAAATTGTTGAAGTAAACAGTGTAAAAAGCATAAGACTTCAAGACAATGCTCAAACCCTTCATTTAAAATAATATTTAACAACCTCACGCCTGATGTTAACAACCTCATTCCTGACGTTAAGCCTGAAATGAGTGGAGACACTTGTTGTCAAGGGTTGGACAAAATACACATTGTATTTTTATGTTTTGTATGTTTATTTTATAATTGATTTTATTTTTATTATATGTCATAGGTTCTTATTAAAAAAAATACATGCAAAAAAAAAAATTCTGGCTATTACAATGTTTGTATATTATTAAAGGGCATTAAAATTTTGATGGTACTGCGACCCTTGTTGTCTAGGATCCAGCCCTCATTGTATAATAAACAAAATGAAGGCAACATTACTGAGAATATGGTTCATCACAGTTTAAAATTACAGCTATTAGCTTTTTATCAAAAGTGACCAGACTAGCAGTAGTCACTCTATCAGACACATATCACTCACTCACTGGTGAAACGAAAAAATAATTCTGGGCACTAAGAAACGAAAGAAGAAGTAGAAAAAAAAAAGAGTTTGCAGATGCGAATACAAGATATAAAATCCGGCACAGAGGTAAAAATTGCATCCACTGTGTTTTTACGCTTATGCACAAGTTTATTAAGTTTAAAACCAGGAGCACTATATCCAATGAAAAGTTTAAGACATATGTTGATTGTGAGTTTGATACTTTAAATAGTCTTGAAAATAAATTGTTTATTACGTGTACAGTACTTACCAAGTGTACAGCTCAATACTTTTATGCTAGTTATGTCATTTCTTATTATATTCAAAATGTCACTTCTTATTATATTCACTGGGCTACGACTAAGAAACCATTAAAGAAGTTAAAGCGCACCTCAGACCTTAGCTAGTAGGAAAGGGATTCCAACCTCCTCCCAACGAACGTTGCGTTCTAGCGTGTGCCTCTCTTATTTAAAAATTTCCAGGCTCACATTAAGCTCCCAGTCCGCCACTGAAAAGAAAAAACTGCAGAAACTTTTTCAATTTTTAAATTAATTACAAATTGCATATTGTTTTAATATAAACTTTTTCAATAAAGAATTGTAAAAATATTTTTAGTGACAAAAAGTAGTTGAAACTTGTCTAGGTAGACTTGACACATGACTTATCACAAGCATCTTTACTGTCATATCTATTGTTGTTTCCACGACATCCACCGTAAACAAACTGTTGACACTTTTTTGTAACATGATTGTAAAACCATTTTTTTAAATAAGCAAAGCATGGTCCAGGATCCAATTTACTTTTGCAGTCAATTTTAGTAGGTTCTAAAAAATATTTTGGTTTACAATTTTTTAGATTTTTTTACAAAGTTTATATATTTTAAACTGTTTAATTAAAATATTTTAATTAATTTGAAATATAAGAGTATTTTCAAGAAATTACTTAAAATAAAAATTTTTATTGCAAGTGAGAAAAAAAAAAAAGTAATAAAAATTAGAAATCTACCACATATTAGACCAACCAAAATTAGAAACCTACCACATATTCCTTGTTTTAAATAGGTATTGCTCATCATACAAAACAGATGGTCATCACAAACACGCTTGTTTGATCCTCCACACACATCTCCTTTTTGTATTTTTTCACAGATTTTGCAACAACCACTTGGATCTTTTATCAAAATACCTTTAAATATCAAAGATTATTTATAAGGATAACATTACATATTGGTATATTTTAGAGGGGACGTAATGCTGTAAAATCACTGAGATAAAAGCCCTAAAAAAAATGGTTATAATAAGCTTTATTTGAATTTTTTTTATATTTAGAATAGAATAAAAATGATATCAAATAAAATAGAAATAATGAACATTTCAAAGTTTGATTGATTAGATTAAGTAAACAAAATTCATAATAGTTAAGTGTTGCTTATATAAAGTTATATTGAATGTATAGGAGATAATAATACTAATTGTACATATCTGTTTCTACCCTATCTGCTTTATATTTTTGTTATTATAGATTTCATTAGTAATTTAATATCGTAGGGATAAAATAAACTTCATCATTATATAATAAAGCTGAATTTGAAATATTAGGAAATATAAAAGATGATAAACAATCAATCAAATTTTTTTAATTGATAATAAAAAACTTTTTTTATTTATTTTCGTTTACAATACGACTACTAACACAACTTTTCATGTGATGATTCTGAAAACATAAATCTTAGAAAAACTTAAATATGATGTTGTAAATAACACAACTTATTCTTGGAAAAACTTAAATATCATGTTGTAAATAATACAACCTATTCTTAGAAAAGCTTAAATATCATGTTGTAAATAACACAACCTATTTCTGTATTAAAAGTTATCTTACTGAGATAAAGAGATATACATTATGTACAATCCGGAATTTTAAATGTTATATGCGAAGTTTCACAGGGATCAATCCTTGGTCTAGTCCAATTCTTAATATATATTAACTACTTTTGTAATGCATCATTAAAACTGATCTCAATAATGTTTGCAGACGATACAAATTTATGTCTTACCAATAATTATATCAAACATCTATTTACGGATTTGAATATTGAATTAAATAAAGTAAAAAAAACGAATCATAATAAATTAAACATTCTTCTTAAGTTGCGCGAACTTTATTTAAATTATACAATAACTATAAAGAAAGCATGTGAAAAATTCTTTGGAATTCTTGTCGATTAAAAGTTATTGTAATTTTCCCACCTAAATTATATATAGTCAAAACTTACCAAAACTATTGGCATAATGTATCGAGTTTGACCATACTTCAATATGTTAAGTCTCAAATTGATATATATATATATATATATATATATATATATATATATATATATATATATATATATATATATATATATATATATATATATATATATATATATATATATATATATATATATATATATATATATATATATCAATTAGACTTCTAATATTAATGTGAATCCTTCACATTAATATTAGAAGTCTAAATAAAAATTTTGAAAAGTTTTGCGATTTTTTAGATGAAACTTAAAATATTTTTAACATAGTTTGCTTAACAGAAACGTGGATTTCTTCAAATGATTTTAAAAATAATTCTATTTTCCATCTTCCAGGTTTTGAAACAATTTTATTAGAAAGACAAATACACGCGGTGGAGGAGTTCTTATTTACGTTAAGGAACACATTGCACTTAGCATTAGGAATGATATGTGCGTTTAGGTAGGCACATAACATTAGGAATGCTATGTGCGTTTAGGTAGGCACATAACATTCTAATCTAAATAAACTTCTATATAGGCACATAACCTTAATCTAAATAAATTTCTATATAAAAATCAATTCGGTTTTTAAAAAAATTGTTCAACTGAACAAGCTATTACACAGCTCATTCATGAAATCTCTAATTCATTTGGTAGATCACAATATAATAGTAATATTTATTGCTGTAACAATTACAAATTTGTTTAAATATAAATATTTAAAAATAAAATAAATTGTGGAACGCGATGCAAGCATCGGGTTATAGACAGCCCACACAAATCAAAAAACACAAGTTATGAAAAATGTTTATCTATTCGCGTTTTGAAAACATTCAACGATGTTGCTTCAATGATTTCATTTGGTAACAAATTCCAATTTTTACAAACTCGATTAGTAAAGAAATTGTATAAACATGATGGTACGTATTCTCTTTCTAGCTTGTATTTATTGCCCCTTACAGAAAAAGCCGGGCCTGAACTAGTCACGGATGATGCCGGTTTTGGATTTTTGTACCAATTTATTTGGTCTATATTTTGCTTGAATCTGTATTGTTGTAAAAGATCTCCTCTAGCTCGTCTTTTCTCTAATGTTGTTAAACCCATTGCTTTCAGTCTTTTTTCATATGAAATCTTTTTAAGTTGTGGAACTAACTTCGTTGCTCTTCTTTGCACTTTCTCTAACTCATCAATATCCCGTTGTAAATAAGGCTGCCATGCAGGTATAGCGAACTCAAGAAGCGGTCTCACAAATGTCGTATATAGTGATTTCACCATTTCCACATCAAAGTATGTAAAAGTACGTTTAATTAGACCCAAAGTTCTTTGTGCTTTTGCTGTCGCTGAAGTCACTTGATCATGCCATTTAAGGTCGGATGAAATAATCACTCCTCAATCTCTTTCAATTACTGTTGTTTTTAATTTATACTCTTTGCCGTTTTAACTCATTCGTGGATTCTTTTTACCTAATGCATCACCTTGCATTTTTCGATGTTCAACTTTGTCAACCAGATATCCGTCCATTTTACAAATTCGTTAATGTTATTCTGCAAAGACTCATGATCTTTAACATTTTTTATAACTTTGATAAGTTTACTGTCATCTGCATATAATTTGCAATTGGAATTAATAATCGACGGTAGATCATTTACGAATATCAAGAATAACAAAGGACCAAGCACAGAGCCTTGAGGCACACCACTAAAAACCTCAAGCCATGGAGACACGTCTACACCCATCACAACTCTTTGCCTTCTTTCTTTTAAAAAAGACGATATCCATTCATTTATTACACCCTTGATACCATATGCTTCACACTTTTTCAACAGTCTTTTATGTGGAACCTTATCAAAGGCTTTGGTAAAATCCATATGAATCATATCTACCGCTAAACTGTCACTCATGCTTGTTGTTAAAATGTCTAATGTTTCTAGCAAATTTGTTACACAGGCTTTATTTTTTACGAAGCCATGTTGATTTTTTGATAGCAATTTATTTTCCATCAGATGAGTCATTATCGCTTCTTTTATGAATGCTTCCATAACTTTGCATGGTACAGATGTTAATGATACGGGTCTGTAGTTAAGCGGGTCTGTTGTATTTCCGTTCTTGAATATTGGAGTAATATTTGCTTCTTTCCATTTGCTAGGAATTTTTCCTGTTTCAATTGATTTTCGGTAAATTAAAGCTAATGGAGTTGCTACACTACTTGAACAATTTTTAAGTACGTAAGGACTAATAACATCACAACCACATGCTTTGTTGACGTCCAAAGAATACAGTTTTTGCTGAACTGCCTCATTTGCAACAACATTTTTCCAATCCCATTCAAAAGGTTTTGTAATACGTGGTACAAACTCCGGAATTTCACCATGCTCTTTAACAAAAACCGATTTAAAACTTTTGTTCAATATATTTACAATCTCATGCCTGTCAGATGTGAGTACATTTACATAGTTTTTCATTGATTGTATTTTAACGATGTTTTTTTGGTTCTTTTTCGCGTATTTGTAGAATAGTCTCGGACTTTTTATAAGTTTTTTCTCATAATCAATGATGGATTCTTTTAACTTGCTTTTGACTAATTTTTTTACTGCTTTGTACTCATTAAATTTATTAAGATATTTAAATTTAACAGCTCTTAATTGGTTCCATAAATTTTTCTTTTTACGTATTAAAGCTTTAACTTCAACTGTTATGCATGGGTCTTTTTTAACTTTTTGATCAAACCTGGCTTTTTTATACATTATGTTAATATACATTAGGTATTTTCATTGACCTATCAAAAGCATTCGACACGGTCGATCACAAAATTCTGCTTAAAAAACTCAAATTTTACGGAATTAATGGCAAATTAATAAAATGGTATAAATGTTACTTAAAAAATAGAAAATAATTTGTTTTCTATGGAGATTATTTTCAAAATGAATAGTTAATTGACATAAAATGTGGTGTTCCACAGGGTTCTATTCTAGGCCCACTTTTGTTTTTAGTTTATATAAATGATTTAAATAAAGCTTCTAACCTTATGAGTATCATTTTTGCGGACGATACTAATTTATTTCTGTCAAACAGTGACATTTATGAGCTTTTTTCAAATATGAATAACGAACTCAATCAGATCTCAAACTGGTTTAAGTGCAACAAGTTAACTTTACACATTGACAAAACAAAATGGATCCTTTTCCACTCTCTTGCAAAAAAGCGTTTTTTACCAAATAAATTACCTAAACTTTTTATTAATAAAATTGAAATAAAAAAGGAGTCGGTCACAAGATTTTTAGGCATTTACATTGATGAAAATATTACGTGGAAGTATCATATCGACTTTATTTCTACTAAATTGGCTAAAAGAATTGGAATTCTATATAAGGTACTATCTAAGTAAACAAAATTTAATTCAACTCTACTACTCATTTATTCATAGCTATATAAATTATGCAAATATTGTTTGGGGAAGTACCTCTAAAAGTAAGTTACGAAATCTCTACCATCGTCAGAAACACGAAATGCGTTCAATATGTTTTGAAAATCGTTTTTCTCATTCAAATACTTTATTTAAAAGCGTTAAAGCACTTAACGTTTACGAACTCAATGTCTATAACATTTTATGTTTTATGTTTCGTTGTAAAAGTGAACAACCATTGTCCACTTTCAAAGACCTTTTTACTTATAAAGCTATAAACAAATATGCTTTATGAAATAATAATTTATTAATTGAACCCTTTTGTCAAACAAAGTTTAATCAATTTTGCATAAACTATCGAGCACCGTATTTATAAAACAAAATTGTTGTTCCAAATTTTGATTTGTCAATTTCGTTTTCCGTTTTTAAAACTAAATTAAAAAACTATATTCTTTCTACTGGCAATATATATAAATATTTATGAAATGTAAAATTTTATTTCACTCTGGATAATTATTAATATTTATATAAATATTTTTGAAATGTAAAATTTTATTTCACTCTGGATAATTATTAATATTTATATAAATATTTTTGAAATGTAAAATTTTATTTCACTCTGGATAATTATTAATATTTATATAAATATTTTTGAAATGTAAAATTTTATTTCACTCTGGATAATTATTAATATTTATATAAATAATTTTGAAATGTAAAATTTTATTTCACTCTGGATAATTATTAATATTTATATAAATATTTTTAAAATGTAAAATTTTATTTCACTCTGGATAATTATTAATATTTATATAAATATTTTTGAAATGTAAAATTTTATTTCACTCTGGATAATTATTAATATTTATATAAATATTTTTGAAATGTAAAATTTTATTTCACTCTGGATAATTATTAATATTTATATAAATATTTTTGAAATATTTTTGAAATGTAAAATTCTTTTTTTTAGTCTTGATAATTTGTTAAATTATTTTCAGTTTTTGTTTCTTCTACATTGTTAATAGTTATTAGATCAATTGTATTTTTATTTTATTATATACACCTATGATATATTTTATATGGTTCTGGCGACAAGATCATTTGGATCTTCTTTCAGATACCAAGTTTATATATTGTTATATTACGATTAATAATTGTAAACTAAAAAAAAAAATCTAAATTAAAAAAAAAAAAAAAATCCATTAGTTTTCCCAATTTTACGGTTTGTCTTATTTGTGAGTCCATATTTATACATTTATATATATATATATATATATATATATATATATATATATATATATATATATATATATATATATATATATATATATATATATATATATATATATTGCATATATACTTATTATTTTTGAAAAGTTGTTACATTTATTTATTTTAAAAATAAATTAATGAACTATATAACTTAAAAAAAGGCTCCAATTAAGTAACAATTTAGCATTAAAACTCTTTATTTTGATTCAAAACCAAACAATTTGTTTATTATTATTAAATAATTAAAATTTTATTTTGATTTAAATTTATAGGATATGGTTTGTAGTCTGTCAATTTTCTTCTTAAAATTATCAATAGTTATACTTTTTTTTGAGATTTGCAAATCAAAATCAAGAATAGGTAATTGGTTTGACGACAGTATTAAACAATTATGAATTAATCAATTATATTACCTTAAATACATATACGTAATATTTAAATTTTTATTAATAATTCATTATCGCATTTACTTGCCGAATTTAGAAAATTTGTGATTTTCGCACAATGTTAATTTTTATTATGAGTTGTTTTATAAAAAAAAAAGTAAAATAAATTAAAAGCGATAAGAACAACATAATAAAAACCATAATAAAAATCACTCTATTTGTAGAATAAACTACAACTTGCATATATATATATATATATATATATATATATATATATATATATATATATATATATATATATATATATATATATATATATATATATGTATATATATATATATATGTATATATATATATATATATATATATATATATATACATATATATATATATATATATATATATGTATATATATATATATATATTGAAGTGCCAGTACTTGATATTTTTGGTACTCTAGTATAAAATGTAAATGGTCTATAAAGATTAACTGCTTTTAGTTTGTCATATTGAATTGCTTCACTTGAGTCTGCTAAGGCTGATGTAGTGTCAGGGTCATATAGTATATACATTGGATGAGCATACTTGCATATATATATATATATATATATATATATATATATATATATATATATATATATATATATATATATATATATATATGTATATATATATATATATGTATATATATATATATATATATATATATATATACATATATATATATATATATATATATATGTATATATATATATATATATATTGAAGTGCCAGTACTTGATATTTTTGGTACTCTAGTATAAAATGTAAATGGTCTATAAAGATTAACTGCTTTTAGTTTGTCATATTGAATTGCTTCACTTGAGTCTGCTAAGGCTGATGTAGTGTCAGGGTCATATAGTATATACATTGGATGATATATATATTTATATATATATATATATATATATATATATATATATATATATATATATATATATATATATATATATATATATATATGTATATATATATATATATATATATATATATATATATATATATATATATATATATATATATATATATATATATATATATGTATATATATATATATATATATATATATATATATATATATATATATATATATATATATATATATATACATATACATATATTAGGGCCCTGTGAAGCTTTGAAATTTCGAAACAAATCAAAAATATGATTCGAGATACGATTCAAATATTTTTAAAAATCGAATCCTTACTTATTTTGTTTTTGTTGTGGGTATTTTAGATATACTGCGCTTTGGCGCTATCAAAATAACGTTACTTATCCTAAAATATCTTTTTAATCAGTCATTAAAAAGGTTAACCAGGGCAAGAAGCATCAATAAAGAGATGATACAATTGCTTTATTTTATTTTATTTTGAAATATATATTATTAAATAAAAAATGCTTAAATTTAGACTTCAAAATGTTAATTCGAAACGTGATTCGAATCGCGAATCAAGACCTGCTTTGGTTCGAGATTCGATTCGAAACAAAAACTGCCGATTCGCAGGGCTCTAATATATATATATATATATATATATATATATATATATATATATATATATATATATATATATATATATATATATATATATATATATATATATATATATATATATATATATATATATATATATATATATATATATATGTATAAGAGAAATAATAAGTTATATATATATATATATATATATATATATATATATATATATATATATATATATATATATATATTTATATATATATATATGTATATATATATATATATATATATATATATATATATATATATATATATATATATATATATATATATATATATATATATATATATATATATATATATATGTATACATATATATATATTTATATATATATATATTTATTAAATATATAAATATATATATATATATATATATATATATATATATATATATATATATATATATATATATATATATATATATATATATATATATATATATATATATATAACCTACCTGATTTGCATAACGGTTTATGACATTGTACTAAACTACAAGACACTTTTGCTTGCCCACAAGTTATAAATGATAAAAAGGAAAATATCAACAATACCAACATTTTGATACTTTATTATCAACAATCTTACTTTATTTATATACTTTATTGCATGACAAACAAAAAATGTTTTTAATTAAGATGTAACTAAAGTAAAATAACTATGATGGTTGCGTCAATGAAAATGACCGATGACGTTTATGATGATGATGACAACCAAAAATGATTAGAGCTTCATGATGACGTCTAAATAACGTTATGACCACAACAATCATGTAAATGATGATGACAGTTAAATCGTTACAACGACAGTTAACGACAATCACGAATAATAAAAGTCGTTCATAATCAAGCGCCAATCTCAATCTTTATGACGAAAACCGTTTTTATGCTGTTTTTTTTTTTTAATATATATATTTTTAGCAATTAACCGTTTACATAATTCTAGTTGTCATAGTATCTTTAACCAATATCTCTCAAGAAAGTTTTATAAAAACACGTTATTAAAAACTCGTTAAGTATTTTTATAAAATTGCTTTTTTTGAGAGTTAAAGATATCTAACCAATTTTTATTATGAATTTATATGTTTAGGGGAGAAATCTTTTTAAGACGTCCTAATGTGCCCACATTAGGAGGCCTTAAAAAGATACCATAGCTATTGTATTGTTTGAAAAAAAGTTAAAATTTTTGCATAAAAAGATAGTTTAGTTATTACTTGTTTAAAAAAAAAGCAAAGTCAAGCTAATTCAAATAAGTTATAATTGCTTTTTTTTCTTAAAAACAAAGTTGATTGTCCAAAACTACCCCACCTTGTGGGGTAACTTTTTACGACATAAGGAAAGTTTGGGAAATACAACTAATAGGAGAAGAAATGTTTCTTAAAATATTATTTTTTGACTGAGCAGTAATTAAAAATAATAGCAGAATTATAAGAATTTTTAACAATAACAGAATTATTCTTAAAAAAGTCTCAAACAATTAAATAGTTCTGATGTACAATATATATTAAAACGAACTAAAATGAAAAGTCATTCACCATCAATCACATGAATACTATTCAATCACCATCAATCACATGAATACAAAAATATTAACTTAAAAAAAATAACAAAGTAAAGAGTATGAATGAAAAAATATTGAGATAAACATGGATGAAAGTTTTCTTTTAACCCAATTGAAAAAATAAAGTTCATAACATTCAACCAAGTTACAATGTTATAAACTTTATTTTTTCAATTGGGTTATATTTTTTACTTTTTATTTATATCGTAAAACATATCCATTTCACTAAAAATGTAAAAAATAAATTTCTTGGAGAAGTAAGTTCCTCAGTAAATCTATACGTGTGAAAATTTTAAAAATTAGAAAAAAAAATCAAAAATCATAAAACGTATATTTCCAATCAACTAATATATTTAACTTGGTTGATAAGTTTGTATTTTTTTAAATTTTCCTAATTTGTCCTAAGCTACCATGTCCTTAACGGCGTCCTTCTCCCCTATAATTTTATTAACGTAGGCATCACAACGTTTGCTAATTTATAAACCTAGCCTTTAATATCAACATAACATTCTATGAAAAACCTTTTAAGGGACGATTATTAATGACAATTGGAATTCAAAATAAGCAATTTAAAAAGTAATTCAAATCGCATTTAAAATTAATCAATAAATTTTTTTTTTAATTTTGAATTGCCTAACAATTTATTTGAATAAATGCAATTGTTGACCACCTAATTTTGTTATTTATTTAAAAAGTATAAAACTTTAGTTGTTTTTTTTTTTAATTTTTTTATTATATAAGTTTTTGATTAATTAAATTATTGATAATTTTTTTAAAAACTTTAGTTTATTAGTATAAAAGTTAAAAAAAATTTTAAATATTTAAATTAAGTTGTGTTGTAGTTTAAGGTTTAGATTTTCGTGACGTATTTCAAAAGATAGGATTTGATTAATCTGAGTTTGTTTGGTTTATTTTCAAAGTTTGCCTTAAATATTGAATGAAGAGTTTTGGTTGCTATGGTTGCTAGTTCACAAAAGAATCCAAACAAGTTTAGGTCATAAGAAACATGGTAAAAAATTACATTCAATATTGGAGCTGCAAAACAATAAAGTAATAAAGTAATATAGAAAGAATCCTTTGCACACTTGAGGTGGAATGAGCTTTGTACACACTTGAGGTGGGGTGAGCTTTTTCTACGTAGAATTAAGGTTCTAACAGCCTATAACAAAAATAGGGTTAGAAATTGAAAGCTATTCGTAACATTCGTTTACGTCAAGTCCTTTAAACTCCTGTACCCAGTACTTTTTTTTCAAATTTTCCAAAAATAAAAATCTAACACTTTATAGTTTCCCTTTTTATATATATATTTTTTCTTTTTTTGTTGTTTAAACAAGAAATTAGCGCTATTTTCACAACCAAACCGATATTTCAAAATACTATATTCATCTTCGATATTATTTTACGACGGAAAATTCTCCAGAATGTAAACTTGATGGCTATTATTATTTAAACTGAGGCCTTAAATGTTAGTATCTATACCTATCGATTTGTCAAATAATTATTTAAAATGCGGAAGACGTCCATTAACTACATGTAACACGGGTAGGAGGACAAGCTGGGGCAGCTAATCGTTTTAATTAAGTGTTAAAGTTTTAAAGTATGCTGGTCAGTTATTTTATCACGTGATATTCTTTTAACGTATCGCGGAGCTCTTGTGTGGAACAAAATAGTTTTGATTTTTCGCAAAGTTGGAGTACTTTCTTACTTTTAAAATTAAGCTGAAAAAAGTTATTTTGTCAATTGATAATATCTTTGAGTTCTTATGAGTTTATACCTTTTAAAAAAGTGTGTGATTCCTGAATATATTGTTTTATTTTGAAATATTCAGTTTTATATATACTCTTTATGTTGTTAAACGTTATTTTATGTTTTGAAATATCTGGTTAGATTTAAATTTTATTTCTAAAGGTCATTTATTGTAATTATTTAACTGGTTATATTTTTACTGCATTGTTAAACGGTTCTCAGTGACAGGATCTTACGATCCTCTTTGAGTCTCCGTGTTCTGATATTAATGTACAACGATATTTATACCATAGTATATTGTAATAAGAACAAAAAACAAAAAATATTACAAACACTGAAGTTCAATACTGCATAGTTTTATTTGCATGAATATCTTGTTGACTTTGAGGCACTCTTTTGAGGAGTATAAAAAATAAGTTATCTGTAATAAATATATATATATATATATATATATATATATATATATATATATATATATATATAATATATATATATATATATGTTTTTTAACTTTAAGTTTTCTTAATTAAAACAGTTAAAATTATTTTTTTGTTCATGATTGTAAGATGTATTAATTATGGGCTCATCATATGTAAAAAAAACATCCTACCTAACCGAGGTGTCGGATAAATTTCAGTTTGTACTCTTATGGAAAAAACACAGTGCTCAAGCGGGACGTTTTAAGGTCATGCGATGTTTATTTACACGTAATCATTCACGTCAATTTTTAAATTAAAAACTAAAAATGAAAGTTTAATAAAAACTATTTCAATTTACAGAAAAGTATTTGATAACTTTTAAGTTTAATTTACTTTTACTTTTAATAAATATGTTAAATAATTTATGATTAACTACAGGTAGATCTCGGTAGTTTTTTTATCCCGTGATTTTAATCCATATGAACACTTCTTAAGTTCCTGAGTGAGTGGTGTAGAGAAAGATTTGGTGAAAGAAACTCCTATGGTGTCGAGAAAGCTTTGGTGAAAGAAACTCCTATGGTGTAGAGAAAGCTTCGGTGAGAGAAACTCCTATGGTGTAGAGAAAGCTTTGGTTAAAGAAACTCCTATAGTGTTGAGAAAGCTTTGGTGAAAGAAACTCCTATGGTGTAGAGAATGCTTTGTATTTCAGTTTAGTCAGTTATGTCAACAAATAATAAAAACAAAATTTATACAATCATAAATATTCTTCAAGGCAACAATGTAAACATTCGGTTTAACAATTCAATTGAGCCAAATATATTTTGTTCTGTACAGAATAATCGAGTATTTTGAATAATCGAGCATTTTGAATATTCAAAAAAGTATTTACAAATTTAAGCTTTTTCTATTTCTGTCATATAACTTCTACTTTTCGTACTTCTTGATTAAAAATGAAGTATAGCGCTTCGACGTTGTTGAATTTTTCTGACACAGCTCCTTTTCACAGCTTCTCTCCTCTTGCGCAAAACGGCATTTACTTCTTTTGAATCCCCTTTTTCATCACCTGCAAACATTAAATTTATAAAAATTATTGAAAGAATATTAAAAATTCAATAAAAGTATGTCATTTCTAAAGTGTATTACGTTTTGATGACGAATCGGAACTAGCTGGTCCAGTTGATGTTGCAACAACCTTTGGCTTATCGTCGGAAGTTCTACTCGCGGCTTGTTCTTTGTTATAAAAATATAGTTAAAATAAATAATTTTCTTTTGAAAACAACAACTTATTTTTATTTTAAAATTAAGATAAAAAATTTATTTTAGATATTTTTCCCCTCTTGAAAACTGAATACCTTGCAGAGAGGCGTCCGTAGTGATGTCTGGACTTTGAGATTGCGCTGCTGCTGCTGCTTCGTCGCCTCCATTAGCCTTGCAAGCGCTAACTAAAGCTTTGATTTCATCAGATTTAAGAGCGTAATTGTAAATTCTAAACTCGTCAATTGATCCACGTAGTGCTCGATTTTTTTCGTGATTTCCGATTCCCGCTCTTACTCCCCAATCACGTGACAATTGACCATCACCAATTGATTGGTTCCTTATCTCACCATTGATAAATATTTTAGCTTGCTTTGTTTTGTAATCATAAGTCCCAGCAACATGAGTCCATCTGCCTAAAACAAAGCATTAAGTTATAAAATTAAATGTTAAAAATTACACTTTTATATCAATTTAGTTTAACTAAATATATTGAAAATATAAACAAAAAAAGAAATACAAGATTTATTTTATTTTATTATTTTTTTAACTCAAAAACTCTTAAAAAATAAGAAATATTAACGAAATCCTAGAGCAATGACATGGCTACAATGTGTTTCATACTACTACAATGTGTTTCAACAATACGTTAATACTCAACAATACATAACAAATAACAACAAATAAAAATGATTGAAATAATAACAAATAGAAATTTAAAAAAATGGATGAGAAAAGAAGTAAGAAACACTAAAAAAAGAAAAATAATTTTTGCATAATTTGAAATATATTCAAGACAACCATTAAGACAATATAGAAAATTTTAAAAAAATAAAATATTGATAACTACAAAAATCTTTAACAGAAAAAAATACTAATATTAAAATATCACAATCTTAATATTTTTAGTAAAAAACAAATGCATAAAAATTAACTCAAGGTAAAATAAGAGTAAAATAAGGTTGGCGTGAAATAAGAAGGCCACATTAGAAGTAGACTTAAATTTTAACTTAACACTGATTAACAGGAATGAGGTAATTGCTACTACCTTCAAAGTGACTGTGAATTACTTTTTATTTACTTCATGATAATTCTTGAGTTCTGGTGATGTCTTTTATCTCCCTGCTAAAAATTGCACCTCCTTTATACTCTCAAGGATTCAGGCAGGGATGTGAGCAATTACTCCTTCTTGTTGGTAAAGATGAAAGAAATAGTTACAAGTAGAATTACTACTTGCAACTATTTCTTTCATCTTTGCCTCAAAAAGAACTCTCTGGAGAGCAAATTCCATTTTATCATTGCAAGAAATTAATTCAAAATGTTGTCTGATACTGTCTGAATCTTCTGAAGATCCATCATTTAATCTCCTGGTTCTAAGCCAGAAATTTAATTTGTCCCACAGCTTTTCTGAAACTAAGACCCATTATTTTTAGATTACTAAATCATATATTTTATCTCAAAAGTTTTGTTAAAGTTATTTAAAAGCAAATAAAGACTTTCATAAAATCTTTAACAACATCATTAACAAAGGCAAGTCTACAATTCCATCTTTCATACATGGATCTGATCTACTTACCTATCCAAAGGATGAGGTAAAACTAAAAGAACTTTTCTTCTAATTCATCACTTGAATCTAATAACCATACTTTTACTGTCATCCATAAAAAAAATGTTAATCCATTTTTAACTCAAACAAATCTCAGTTATTTAACTGCAAATAATTATAATTGACAGAAGACTATACAAAGTCTTCTGTCAAACGTTTTCTTGCTCTATTTTTGTTATCTATTTTTTTTTTGCTTTTTGTTAATGTCTTAATATGGCCTACTATATTCACGACAGTATATCTTACATTTTTGAGGGGGAAATTAAGAGGCCGATATTTACTGAAAAATTGGCTACACAGAATATTTTTTAAAAAGCAACTCAAATCTTCATTTTTAATTTAAAAATCTTCAATGTAAAAGTAGTTTTTATTATAGTTTTTAAGATAAAATAGGTATCAAAGATTTAAAGACATTTGTGTAATATTTGTTGGAGAATTGTCACAGAAATCATTCAAATAAATATAAAATTATATCTATGTATATTATATTTATCTATAATATATTATACTGTATTCAGGCATATTTTCATATATTAATCATATTATAACATATATCTGTATTCATGCATAATTTAAGACTTGGGAAAAAATGTGAAGAAGAAGTTCAAAGAAATTAAATAATAGGTAAATTTTGTTAAACTATATAAACAAATGCAACTGACATCAATTTTGATTTCACTTTTTTCTTTGCATCTTTTTAAATGTTTTAAAGTTAGTATTGGGAACCAAATCCTTCAATAGTTTTTGTTTGTTACTAAAAAATACATTAACAAGAATTTTTGTTGAAAACGTGATTCCCCAATTTTCATGATTTTCACAAATAAATTTGCTTTTTGGTGCTTATTTATGTAACAGATATGTTGATGATGATTTAGTGACTGGAATTGATAGAGATGAAACTTCATTGTCAATTAAATCCAAAATAGCAAATACACTAGAAACAAACTCTGTAAGCTGTTTGGATGGAACAAATAGTCCACCATGTGATAAGAGAGATAGATAAGAATTATTTTCAAGATCAATGTTCCAGCTTTATAACATGCTTTGCAGTTTTCGCAGTTAGACCTTTTTGACAATTTTTTTGCAACATAGTCTGCTATAGTTAATAGCACTTCCTGACTATTATAATTAAGGGAACTTTCCATAATTTCTTCACTTCAATTTTCAAACTGTTCATCAAGTATTGTCAGATGAATATCTGGTAGTAGATTTTCTTTCCAGAAGTTTATATGCTCATTAATTAAAGAATGACATGACAAAATTCTTTCTGAATTTAAAACTTCTCTTGAACTTACAAGAAATCTTCCCCACTCATTTGCCTGTATTGTGAGAAATGCTTCTCAATTGGATCACTTAGTAAACGAGCTGCTATCACCTAATCATATCCATTATTTAGGAGCTCCTCAACAAGCAGTGCTTGAACACGTAAAGTATTTACAAATGCTGATGCAGTTTGAGTTGTGAGGATAAATGCAGGTGAAAGAGACCACTGATTGATCCAATCAGCCAGAGGTTGGTAAAATATCATTTTATTGTCTGCTAATAAAATAGTATTCCCAATAATATTTGGTGAAAACCTTTGTTTAGAATTAGCAATTGTCTAGCAAGTGTTAAAAATAGTTAAAAATTTGAAACAACTTTTTGATTTGGATAATAGCTTTTTGAAGCTGCAATTGTAGTTTCATGTATAATTGCTAATGCAAGTGGCACACTTTGTTTATTATTTCCAGGATTTAATACCTCATATGTAAGCTTTGGAGCTTTTCTGGAGTTTTCCTTTTTTTTGGAGTTTTCCTTTCAGGTCATTATCATTATGGTAAATCTTGAATAAATCATCCCAACTAATATATCCTGATGGACAATCAATATTGATATATGCATTATGGTCAATAAAACAAATTTTTACCATTTAAACTATTTTACCAAACTATTTCTAAGGCTTTTGACTAAATGCACACTATCGTAAAACAAATATGTTTTCTTTTCATGATTCTGTAGATGAATAAAATTTTTTAATTCAGACTTGAACATTGTGACTAATGATGAAAATGCATTAACATTAGTAGAATGATTGTCTGTCACTATACCACTCACAGTGAACCCAGCACCTACTAGATTTTTAAGGTTGTCAGCTATTTTTTGTGATTGCCGATTTCCAGAGAATGTGACTTCTGGAATCGTTTGAACAATAAAAGGAATAGATTCTTTTAGTCCTATTATCATGAATGCAATAATTTCTTTGTATTTCTTTGTAAGTTACCTTCTTCGTCAGCGCCAACATACTCTTCTCCTTGATATTGTGCTGCTTTTTGAAAATACATTTTATCTATGATCAAAATATTAGGTTGACCGGAAAGTAATGTCGTTTTTGCGCATGTTGACATTCGATAATCGTTGGCCAGTTTATTGTGTATCTCGAACACGTGCACAGGTTATTTTTATATTAGTGTGACTTGTTTACTTCTAAATTATTTAAAATTAAATAGTTTTCTTTGCAAATTGGAGTGAAATGGCATACGAAATACAGGAAGTGCATATTCGTCATTGTATGCTTTTTGAATTTCGCAAGAGTAATAACGCTACAGTTGCGACTAAGAACATTAGTGATGTTTACCCAGGTTCATTAGATGTTCGCAAATGCCAAAGATGGTTTTCCAAGTTTAGATCTGGGAATTTTGATCTTTCTGACGCCCATCGACCAGGAAGACCAATGTCATTAGACAACGACGTTCTAAGGGCAGAAGTTGAAGCAAATCCATGCCAAACCATTGAAGAATTGTCGAACACCCTTAACCAACCTTGGTCGACCATCCAAGAACATTTACACCAGATAGGAAAAATCAGCAGAGCAGGTGTTTGGGTCCCCCATAACTTGTCAGTGCAAAACAAAGCCAACAGATCAACCACGTGCAATGCATTGATTCAACGGCACCATGCAGAACCGTTTCTTGATCGTTTGGTCACTGGAGATGAAAAATGGGTCCTATACGATAATCCAAAACGCAAAAGGCAGTGGCTTTCCCCAAATGAACCAGCACGCAGTACTGCAAAGCCGGGATTACACCCCAAGAAGGCGCTCCTGTGTGTTTGGTGGAGCATCCGCGGAATTGTCCACTTTAAAGTGCTTATTCCTGGACAAACTGTTAATGCAGACCTTTATTGTCAACAATTGGATCGAGTGAACCAAGCTCTAGTTGAGAATTACCCGGCTATCGTCAACAGAAAAGGTGTCATTCTTCAACATGACAATGCAAGGCCGCACTGTGCACGACGGACGCTTGAAAAAATTAATGAATTGGGATGGGAGGTGCTGCCCCACCCTCCATATTCACCTGATATCGCCCCTTCAGATTTTCATTTGTTCCGATCCTTACAGCACTTTCTAAGTGACAAAAAATTTCAAACTTTGTACTGCTTAAAAAATGGCATCTCCAGATATTTTGATGACAAACCAATACATTTTTTTCGATCTGGTATAGAAAGTTTGCCCGCTCGATGGCAAAAGGTTGTGGAAAATGAGGGTGATTATATCATTGATTAAAAATAAATATTATAAAAAAATTATTTGTTTTAATTTGACGTAAAAATACGACATTACTTTCCGGTCAACCTAATACAATCAGAAGAAATTTTTTCTTTTTCACGTAGAAGTTTTAAAGCCTTTATAGAATCGATACCTCCTTGTTGAACTTTATTTAATAAAGATATTGGTGGTAAAGGAAACTTTCTAAGTAGTAGTTTGTATGCCTGCAAAGATGTATATCATAAAAGTAATGCATATCAAATCATCTCTGCTGAGTATAGTAGCCTGCCTTGTAGCTGAAAAAGCTCTATATTTAATTTCATCTAAAATAGTGTCACAATTTTCTAATGTGTAGTTTCTCATATAAGAAGGAAAATTTTCTAGTATTCTAATTTTATTAGATTTTGCATTAATCCTTTAACAAACTTGGTAATGGAAGTGGTGTTCCTTTGTATTGCAAACGTATATTTTGGTACACCATCTGTTATTGGTTCTAATAAAGTTGGTAAATATGTTTATTCATTAAATACTATACTATAAAATGCAACACCTATTTCAAATCATTTAAATTGAAACCCTGGTGGTGCTACTGCTTCATTCAAATTATGTAGATTTGTAATTATATCATTTTTCTTAAATATTTCTAACTGATCTTTTTGGAAGACTTCAAGAAATTTTAAAAACTGGTATCGTTGATTTTTTTTTCAAAAGTTCACAAGAATACTTAGAAGGAACAGGTTTTAAAAGCCAATTCAGAGTGCATTTATCATCTTTTATTATATATTTATCTTCAAAAAGAAGCTAACATAAAACAGAATGTTTTGTTGGAGTCCAATCTAAACGATCAACAAATCATATCCAAAGTTGATTTAAGTTTTGGTCTGTTAGAAAATGAAAAGATGCAATTTGTTGTTGCTTAAGTATCCCGATGTACATTTTGGCGCAACACATTTGTTGACCATTTTTAATATAAATTCTTTAAAAGTTAGTAAATTCAGAAAGAAGAATATTTTTAAAAATAATATTTTAGCGTATTTTTCTAAAACTTTGAAAACTGGCCTCTTAATTTCCCCCTCAAAAATGTAAGATATACAGCCGTGAATATAGTAGGCCATGGTCCAATTAAATATCGATTTTATTACTTACAGCTTTGATGGGAGTGAATTCATTAGGGAAAAAAAAAACTTTTAAATACTAAGTCAGAAAATAATTATGACTATTAAATAAATAAATAAAAAGAAATTGAAAAGTAAATCAACTTCTAAAACAGAATAATGAATTGAAATAAAATTTAAAAAACTAAAATTTTATTTAAAGTTCAACAATTTCTATATCTTAATTTTATTTCTTGGATAATTTCTAAAACGGATATATATGATATATAAAACTGATAAAATGCAGTAGTGGTGTAGTGGCAAAACACTCGCTTCATAAGCGAGAGGTTCTGAGTTTGATCCCCACCACGTCCCTGGTAGTACCACGCTCAACTAGTTTCTCCGCGCAGCGGCCTTGTTCGTCAAGGTTCGTGTTTTGGAGTTATAGAGTTGAGAGAGGGTTATAACCACTATTAAGTAGCCTCCTCGTCTGTAGTGGCCTTCTCGACCTTGAGGAAATGAATAACAAAAAAATATATATATATTACTGAAATATAAAAAATGATAATGATCATAAGTAACAAAGAAAACAAAAATTAAGTAAACAATAATAACCAAGAAACCAACCTTTAGGTACAAAGTGTGCCATAGTCTCAAATACAACTTCTTGGCATTCGTTTCGATGAAACCAACGCACAACTCCATCATTCACTTCAAAGTGAAACTGCCCTTGGGCATGTGAAGCTCCAACTGTATCAAATATTGAATGCTGGCCATTCTTTTCCTCCAATTTAATCCAGGCAGCTATAGTAATAGCTGATTTTGGTTTTGCCTGAAAAGTATCACCCCTTAAGTATATGTCATGATCGTACAATCGAGCAGCTTGGTTACAAGTGTACTCTTTGTCACTAAACTTAAGTATTTCACCACCTTGACCCATTGTACCACTATTTTCATAACCAGATTTATCTGCAATTCGCCCATGTTTCATCACTTTTTCAAAATTAAAGTAGACAACTAACCTTTCTAAAATTTAAATTAGACACAGTTAAGTGCAGAAGATATATGATACATATCTAATTATGTGTCAAACTTAACTAAAAGGCATACTCAGCTTATTTCACTTAGTAATTTGATTCAGTAAACATAAGTTTATAATTGAACTATTTATCTTACTAGGTTCATCTTCTTCGTCGTCATCTTGAGGTGGTTCATCACAGTTACTTACACAACCAGTTTGATCTCGTTTTTCCAAGTTTTGCTTCTTTGATTTGGTGGATATAGGACCTGGATCACACAAATTTTATAAAAAAATAAAACTTTAAGATATTAAAATTAAGTTACTCATAACTCTTTTAACTTATATATATATATATAAATATATATATATATATATATATATATATATATATATATATATATATATATATATATATATATATATATATATATATATATATATATATATAAATACGAAGTCCTTTTTATATATATCAGGGATGCGGAGTCCATATTTGCAAGTCCTTTTTGTGACTTGCAAATATGGACTCCATATTTGCAAGTCACAAAAAGATTACTTCTTTCAAGTTTTTGCTATCCAGGAGCTTAGAAATATAAAAAAGCTTATGGGCTACTAATGGGGAAAAAATCAAGACTTATAGGTCAGAAGAACAATCAATTTTTGAAACCGGAATTCTTATGTATAATGGCGGCAAGGACTCTGGGACGCCGGGATTAAAAACAATAAGTTCCAAGTCATTAAATATCATAACTTTTTTTCTTATAGCAGATCATTATTCAACCAACCTGTTTAAAGCTTCTGGACACCAGAGATCATAAAAAAAATAAAGTTATAAAGCTGAAGTCCTTTTGGGGCTCTGCATCCCTGATATATATATATATATATATATATATATATATATATATATATATATATATATATATATATATATATATATATATATATATATATATATATATTATATATATATATATATTTAAAATGAATTTATCTTAAGCTATATTTTTTAGTCTCACAGAAAAAATTGACAGATACCTAATATTAGAAAAAAAATTAAAAAAAAAACAACCTAAAGATTATATGCACAAATTAAATATATAACCTATTAAATGTACAACATCCTCATTATTTATTCATTATTTCAAAATTCATTTATTCTAAAAATCTACTTTAAAATGTATTATTAAATTGTATGTATTAATTATGTATGTAATTATGTAATTATGTAATTATGTATGTATGTAAAAATTAATTGTATGTATTAAATTTTTATTCCCTTATATAATTAAACTAATTTTGTGTCATAAAATATCTAAAACAAAAAAAAATTACCCATAATTCCCTGATATTACACTTTACAACCAACAGCCAAAACTACATTCAATTTAATTTCAAACAACTAACAAAGCTAATATTCATTTCATTAAAAAAAAATTACTAAATTGACTGACTATTAAATAAACTAAATAAATGAACTTCTAAAGAAAAAAATTAAAATCATAAAAATAGCAATAACAGAAAATAAAAACAGCAACAATGAAATTGAAAATACAAAAAAGTTATTTGTAATCTTGTATATACATTTAGAAGTGGAAGATTTACATAAGTTTTTTAGAATTGTGAAAAGTTAACCGAACTTTGATAAAAAATACAATAAAATAAAATTAAAAAATTTTGAATTTTTTTTTAAGAAAAAATTCCACAACAAAAGATTTTCAGATGTTCAAACTTTTATTAAAGCACAAAAATCAAAAAAAAAAAAAAACTTAAAAATTGCTCAATAAGACTTTAAAGTATTTTTATATTTTTATAATACATGAATACACATTCTTTTAAAAAAATATTTTATGCTTTTTTAACTAATTCTTTAAAAAACTAAAAGAATGTTTTGAAATCATTTTTAAATGATATCTATTAATCGATCATGTTTAAATGAGTGATAATTAAGAGATGTCTTCTTTAACATGTTTTTACATGAACTCAACTTTGATCAAGTATTAAGTTTGAATTTTAAAAGTTTAGGAAAATGCTTCTTTTCTTGATGCAAGATAATTTTGTTGTCACTTCTTGTCTTTTTTTGCTGTTCTCACTTTTCTTTGCAGCACGCTTCTTTCTTTTTTTCTCATCAACTACAAAATAGAATAGTTGAATATTTTTTAATTTTAATTTATAAAAATATGGTTATTAATAGTTGTATGAAAAAGACTTACCTTTCTTGATGTTATCTGACTGTTTATTATCAGCATCTGGTTCAGTAGTTTCAGATCTAACATCAGGTGAATCTGCACCTCTACATGCTCCTACTAGTGCTTTAATTTCATCCATGCGGAGTGCATAATTGTATATTCTAAATTCATCAATAGAACCCCTTAAAGGACGGTGTTTCATGTGATTTCCAATACCAGCCCTACATGCCCAATCTCTAGATAGCTCACCATCACCAATGGACATATTTCTCAAATTTCCATTAATATATGCCTTAGCTTGTTTTGTCTTGGAATCATATGTTCCTGCAACATGTGTCCATTTATCTATAAAAATTATATTGTACTAATTAAACATAAAACACACATATATGCATACAATTGAATTTATTTGAAAAATTTTTATACACTTATTTATTATTTTATTTATCATTTTATATTTTATTTATCAGTTGTTGTTTTTTCAGACTATACAAAAAAAAATTGTAGCTGCAAAAAATATTGCATACAAATAATCACTATGCTGTGTTTGCTCAGATAAACTTAAAGTAGTAAATTACAATTTTTTTTCAATATTAGATCATTCGTCTTATTTAATAGTTTAGATTTGTTATTGTGTGATGTTCTAAAATTGCAGATGTAAGAAAAATTTAAAAATAATACTTATTTTACATGCATATATATTTATGTACACACACACACACACACACACACACACACACACACACACACAGATATATATATATATATATATATATATATATATATATATATATATATATATATATATATATATATATATATATATATATATATATATATATATATATATACATATATATATATATATATATATATATATATATATATATATATATATATATATATGTTTATATGTGAATGTATATATATATATATATATATATATATATATATATATATATATATATATATATATATATATATATATATATATATATATATATATATATATATATATATATATATATACATAAACACATTTATATACAAATAAAAAACACTAACAAGGTTTTCATTACCTTTAGGTACAGAATGTGCCATTGTTTCAAAGACTGTATTTTTGCAATCATTTCTGTGAAACCATCTCAAAACACCATCATTAACTTCAAAATGAAACAGACCTTGCTGATGTTTTGTTCCAATTGTATCAAAAATAGAATGTTGCCCAGGTTTTTCTTCTAATTTTATCCAAGCTGCAATTGTAATTGCTTTTCTTGGTTTAGCCTGGAACAAATCTCCCTTAAAAAGTATATCACTTTGCCATAACCTTGCTACTTGGTTACATGTAAAATCTTTCTCACTAAACTTTAAAATTTCTCCTCCAGTGGAAAAATCACCATTATTATCATAACCTGATTTATCATTTATAATTTTGATGGTTCCTCTTTTATCCTTTGCATCTGGCTTGGTTTCAAAGTTGAGATAGCAAACTAGCCTCTCTAAAAAAGTAAATAAATTATAAGCATAATATTGTAGTTGTTATATATATTTGGTATTAATATAATAAGAATGTTAATTATAATTAAACCTGACTATCATTAAAATAGCTGATATAAGTTTGTCAGATTAAAAGGATCATACTTAAAAAATCACTTAGTATAAAATAACATTCTACTTTAAAATAATTATCTAAAACAATTAAACTGCCAAATTTGATAAATTTTTTCTCTGACTCAGACAGCATAAATAATCTTTATTTAAATAATTTTTTATTAAATGATGAAAAAGATGACAGTGTGCTCTTTGATAAAGATTCCTTCAATAAAGAAAAACTAAACCATAGTAAAAGACATGAATAAAAACATAAAGATAATTTTCGCTAATCAAGATGTAATAACCTTTTCTTGTAGTCCTTCAATTATAACATTAGAACAGCTCTATTAAATGAGCTTTTATTTTACTTAAATGTTTACCAAGAGATTATAGATTAATGAAAAGAAAAAAAAAGTTTAGTGAATAATATTTAAAAAGCTGTTGGGGATTTCAAATCTAATATAACTTAATACAGTATTTACTTGAAGAAATAAAACATTAGTTTTTCCATCTTTATGTGTGTATTTATGTATTATGTGTGACTGTGAGTCATGGTATCACTCTCAGTCACAATGTTTAGACCATAAGCTCTATAGGAGTTAAAGTGAGAAATAAAAGTGATGGAAGCAGTAGTGATTTAGATGTCTAACAGTGGACAAACTGGTTTCACTGGGATGCAGGAGGTGTGGTCATTTAATTATGGAAGAAATATATAAAGGAAAAGTGTGGTCATGCCATTATTAATGACATTGTTGAAAATTTTTACAAACATCTTTAGAACTTAATTTCTAAGCTTATAAGGTTTAGTTACTTGAGAATAATGGATTGTAGTTACGTTTATGTATGAATTTCTTACAATTTTACAAAATACGTTTATGTATGAATTTCTTACAATGATAAAAAGATACTTTTTCTTCAGAGATGTTTTTGTGTTTTTTTGAAAGCAACAAATATGAATAGAAATAGCAGCTGCAAAAAATATATGAAGTAAAAAATGTTAGAGTTTGAAAACTTAGTTAACTGGTTAGAGTAAGGTTTGAGTTGAAACTGACAAGAAGAAATATATGCCTGCCTGAACTCAGGAAATTAAAAAGAAGATGCACTTTTTGTAGAGAGAAAAAATAAAACATCAGTTTAATCACAATTATATGCGACTGATTTGTTGAGGAGTTAAGAAAATATTGTCACACAACTGGATAAGAAGATTATTAATACATAGTCATTAATACATATGTAATAATGTATAATGATCTATGAAATAATGTATAATGATCTATGTAATAATGAGTCTATGTCTTAGACTAAAACGGTTTAAAGCATGTCTTTAAACAAGCAATCTGCTTTTCCATTTTAAAACTACTTAGGAGTTTGAAAGAAGAAGTACACTCAAAAAGATATGTAATATGTGACAGTCAAATGATTGGATGAAAAATTACAGATGATGTATAACTCAAAAGTAACAACTAAAATTGTTGTAACTTGAAGCAAAATAACAAGCGCTTTTATTTCTTATAGGATAAGAAAAAAAGCGCTTGTTATATTCAATATAGTTTTAATTTTTTTAATTATATTCAATATAATTTTAATTTTTTTAATTTTAATATATTGCAAAATCTGGTTTTTAAATATAATAGAAAGCTAGGTGAGGCACCTTGTAGTATCTTGATGGAGAAATCAAATTAAAGTATTTCTTAATGATTTATTAACTTCTTTAATAAACCAAAATTCTACATATAACATATTTTTATATCTACGATAAATATGCTAAATATGCTAGTCCGTAGTTTTAAGCGTAACCACGTGATTACTAAACCAGGGATGGTCAAAACTTTTTTCCAATGAGTAAATCCAGGTTTCGCGTTTTTAATAAAATCCTGACCAAATATTAGAAGCGCTTGAATATCGAATTCGTTTTTAAATTATTTTATTATCTACGAGTTTCAAGTTTTTAGCTTAACACTATGGGGCCAGGGGCGGACTGAGGCTTGAAATCGTCCCGGGAATTTTACATTAGTCCGGCCCACATCAAAGAAAAAGAAAGTAAAAAAAAAAAAAGGAAAATGTTGGTATGTGATTAATATTCGACCAGAGCCTGTTCAGCGTTTTCTATATTTTCATGAGCTATGCTTGTACTAGAATCTCTTTTAGAAATGAAGTCATTTATTTTGAGACATTTATTAGCTGCTGATTGAATCAGTTTTTGTTTTTTATCGCGTAATTTCTCAGTTCCTCTCTTTCATTTCTCGCGTTCGCTCATTTTGAAATTTTCGAGTGACCTGATTTGGGCCGATATAAGAGCTGAAATGTTTCCGTTCAGTAGTTTATTCAAATGACTATAAAGAGATTATGGAATTGTAATAAAATTGTATAAAAAAAGCTTAAACTCTACTTTTTAAAAATATATAACAGTAGTAGTCGAAAGTAAGCGGTAAACACAAAAAATTGAAGTATAAAAATGTAAGTTTTTGTTTTTAAGAAATGCAAATTGTTCGGATCTCTCCTTAACTACGCTGAGTTGTATGTTCAAATTTCAAAAACATTTTAGATGCAAATGTCGTGTCATTTTTTATGTGATCCTGACATGGTAAATAGGTTGTCCCAGAGAAAAATTTTACATTTTATGATTGAAACTTTTGATTATTTTGTAATAATATTGGCTATAATTCAATATTTTTATAAAACTATCAAATTAAATTAAAGTGCATTGTCCTATACCTGACAGAATGGTTGCTTATTTACTGTAATTTTGATAAAACTTTATGAGTTTTACATTTTTTATTACAACACTGTATTTAAATATTTTTAATAATGTTATGGATTATAATTAAAGCAAGATTTACTTGGCTAATTTTGGAAAAATGCATTTTAAAACCAAAAAAATTTTGTGAAAAATAATTTTTAGTTTAAACCTTCTTCAAATTTTGTTTATTGATTTTTTTTTAGACACCTTCCACAAGTTGTCTAAAACCACCATCATTGTGTTTATTGATTTTTTTTTTTAGACACCTTCCACAAGTTGTCTAAAACCACCATCATTGTGTTTATTGATATGTTTAGACACCTTCCACAAGTTGTCTAAAACCACCATCATTGTGTTTATTGATATGTTTAGACACCTTCCACAAGTTGTCTAAAACCACCATCGTTGTGTTTATTGATATGTTTAGACACCTTCCACAAGTTGTCTAAAACCACCATCATTGTGTTTTGTAGACAGTTTTCCGAATGGTGTCCTTTTAGTTCTGTCATTAATAACTGTTATTTGATGCTCACTGGACATGAATTTTTTAAAATAACTGTTTTTAATATTTTTCTCCAAGTTTTACCGGCCTTCTTTCAAGAGAGAAGGTTATCTATGATTATACCATGATGGATAAAAAAAAAAGATAAGATTCCTGCGAAACAAACTCAGATAATTCTGATATTTGAAAAAGACTCTGGTTGTCCTTTGTCAAAAGAAATCATCTCTGGAACATTACTTTAACAGTTGCACAAGAACTTCCATCCTCATTTACACCTCCATATTCTGGTCAGCCAAAGCAAAGATAACATGAAAGCAAAGCAGAAAACAAAGATAACTGTAGAGTGAAATACAAGTGTGTCTGAGAATAGTATGATCAGAACCTTTACCAATTTTTTGATTGTTATAGTTTTTTAAGAAGTAGATCGATCAAGAACTGTGATGATATGTTAAATGCTCTAAGATAATTGGCTGGAATCTGAGCTGCCAGTGGGCTTTTTAGGAAAAAAAAAAAGTAAAAGATTACTTATAATTTAATGCATCCTGTTGCATCTGAACTCAACGACACTAAGGTGCTTGTTGTAATTTCTTGCCATTTGCGTTGCTAATAAATACAATCAGTGTGAGCCATGAACTTTACTTGATGTTGTGCATTAGGTTGTAGAAATCTGAAGTTTGGCAAATCTGCTCCAAGGTAAAAAGTAACTTGTTGACAAAAATACTTTTAAATACTCGTGTCAAACATATTTGTTTCAAGAGATATTTTGCAGAATTTCCTTGTTTCGGTTGCAAGATTATAAAAAACGGTTCCAGGAGCAAACTCACATCTTTTCTAATACAATTTTTCAATGAGTTGACTGGGTCTATCATCATCTATTATGACATGGTGTACATGCAGTTCCATTATATGGTGAATAGAATAAATTATTTTTATTATCTGTTATTAGTCTCTTTAAAATTAAAACACAACAATTTTTATACTATACATTATACCTGCATTATACCTGCAGCCAAAGAAACAGCTAGGAAAAGAATAAACTACAATATTTTTAATTGCACCATTATGTTTTCCAGTTTTAGATAAGTATAAGATAAGCAGTTGTATTAGCGCAACAAATTAATATCTGGTCTGTTAAGTCATAATATTCTACAAGACTTTATATTGCCAATGCTTGATCATGTTCTTTGGAGAAGGGTACTTTTAGTATTCCTAGAAGAATGTTAAGTGAATCAGACTTAAGAAAGGATAAAATAATTGCCAACCTTTTGTTTCAAGAGAATTTTACCTCTATCCTGTACTGTTTAACCAGCTTTGAGTCAAAGTGAAAAACAAGTTTCAAACCTCTAATCCAAGTTCTGTTCTCTTACTATAAACGCTTTATTATCTACAACTACATGGTTTTTTCTGGCCATCTGAGACTTTAAAATGTTTAACATGTTAAGATTTTAAAGTCTCTCTCCCATTTTTATTCTAGGAACAGTCACAACAAAATTGTTGTTTCAGCTCTAACATTAACTTGATGACTAGAAAAAAGTAGAATTTTTCATTTTTTAAACAATGTAATACTTTAATCATTTTTCTTTAAAACTATGTATTTATTTTTGTTGTATATTTAATTCATCAAAGGTTATGATCCACTTTACTCCTGGAAGTATGGAAAAGTTGCTGATTTTTCACTCATGCCTCCTTCCGGTGAAGGGGGCATCAATGTTGAATTTAGCGACAAAGAGGTTTTTGTGGATGAGGTAATTGAACTCTTTTTTATAAATTATTATTAAAATTATAAGACATTTTAAATGGATGATTTGTGTGGATTCTAACAAAGAATTAATTAATGTTTAGTTAACTTCTGATAAACTTGTGAGAATGCCGGGGGTAAAGACAATATTCTTGATCAAAGTAAGAAGAAGCTCAAATAATAATCAAACACAAAAAACTCTTATTACGCTTCTTTTTTTCCCTGGTTACTAAGTTTCTCTTCTTTCTTCTTCATTTTTCTGGTTATGAATGTACTTTAAAAAGAACTAATGATTTTTTCGCTGAGCGCCGCAGAAACGTATTTAGCAAGAAAGTTCACGCCTTTAACAAATAAGAGCAAGTATCGAACATTGTTTTAACAATTTTATAGCTTCATTTAAAAACTATGCTTTATAATTTTTATATAAGCATTAAATTTATTTGAACATAGCTTTGATAGAACTTTGGATCTGAAAGTATTTTAGCAAATAGTAAAAGCAAGGCTTCCCTAGTAAAAAGTTTTATTTTATTATTTTTTGACTTTTTTTCTTTTTAAATATTTTACTATCATTATGAAAATTATTTTGTCTTTTTCCTCAAATTATTTAATTCTTATATCACTTTTATAAAAAAGTTCTTTTTTCTCAGTAGAATAAATATAGCAATTTTTTGCAAAGTTGAAAATTTACAATAAATATAAATTTGAATGTGAAATATGTTAAAAATTATGAGTAATGAGGCTTTAAGCTATTTTAATATAAAAGTTGATGAGGAAATTTTGTGCTCAATATTATTTTTGTTGTTGTTAGCAAGTACATCTTTGAGTGTTTTCATGTTTTATCTTTATAAGCCAGAGAGATATTTAGAGTTAACGTTGAGCCAGAGAGATATTTAGAGTTAAACTTGAGCCAGAGAGATATTTAGAGTTAACCTTGAGCCAGAGAGATATTTAGAGTTAAACTTGAGCCAGAGAAATATTTAGAGTTAACCTTGAGCCAGAGAGATATTTAGAGTTAACCTTGAGCCAGAGAGATATTTAGAGTTAACCTTGAGCCAGAGAGATATTTAGAGTTAAACTTGAGCCAGAGAGATATTTAGAGTTAAACTTGAGCCAGAGAGATATTTAGAGTTAACCTTGAGCCAGAGAGATATTTAGAGTTAACCTTGAGCCAAAGAGATATTTAGAGTTAAACTTGAGCCAGAGAGATATTTAGAGTTAACCTTGAGCCAGATTTGTGAGCCTTGATTTGTGAGTTAAACTTGAATAACTCTAGTTATTATTAGTAATCATATGATTATTGTACCGGGATCCAGAAGCCCAATTGCTACTTATTCCACTTATTTTAATAACTAATAAGTTAAACAATTAAACAATTAAACAACCTTAAACAATTTGTACCCAGTTTTAAGTTTGGCACATTTTAAAATGAAAAAAAAAAAAAACACTTATTAAAAATGAAATTTTGTTTTTATTCATAATTGCTGTAAATGCTAATAGTATTAAAACATTTGTTAATAATTGTTACGATTATATATACATTCGATTTTATTGGATACTCTTTTATTTATTATATGTCTATCCAGTGAACATGCGTTGTCCGGGGGACGTCAGTCGGTCGTCACTGGGTAGTTGTTCTGTAGGGAGGGACATAACTAGAGGTCCAGATAATTAAGTTACGCCATACATGATGTTTATCTTTAAAAATAGAGAAACGCTAATGTATAAATGCTTAAATATGTTTAGAGATCAAAGTTACACTTTGTGTGATTATAAGTTAATACGAACATAAGATATTGTTAAGTAAACCTTCATATAACTTTGTTAACTTTGTTGCAAATGCTCAATATTGTTGGATAGAAAATAAAAAAAACAATGTTTTACTGATTTATGTTTTCTGGTAGCTTTACAAAGATTTGTAGAATCCAAAATTTTAATTTGAAGAAACCCGTTACTTAGGTAATCAATAAGAACTTTGTTAGTTTCTAACAATAAAAAAGATATGTACAATCAGGGCTAGATTAAAGGCTTTAAGGTCCCAGATAATCATGAAGCTTAAAACCAAATAACTTCCAGAATAATCTATAGCCTATGATTTAATAATATAATTAATATAAATAAAAGCAGAAATTTAATTCATATTTTGAAAAACTAGTTATCTATTTTATTAAACTATATCTTTTATTTTAATTGTCCGCTAGGTCCTCAGAAAAGTTAAAATTGAACTATAAATAATTTTTTTTTTGTTACTTACGTGCTTCTAAAAGTCTCAACGGTCTTATCAAAGTCTTAACGGTCTTATCACAGAGCACCGCAGAAGAACATTTAACCAGAAAGTTCACCCCTCCTCGATGTTCTATGTAGTTACCTATTTAGTCTCTATCGATGTACTTGTTGATCCAATTAATCTCTATTAGGATTTTTTTATTTTTTATTTAGCCTACTTTTAGTATCCGGGAATTAGTCATAGCTCAAATGCAACAACTAGTTACGCCTATAAAATTGTTTTTTAATGTCTTTTTAGTCATTTTTAATTTTCGTTAAGTTAATGATAGAAAAAAGATTCTTACTTGGTTCATCTTCCACATCAAACTCATCCTCCTTATCATCAGATGCAACAGCTACAAGCTCAGGAATGTCTTCAATTCTGTTTCTCTTCTCAGCATTTGCATCTTTTTTTGACTCATACAAATCTACTTGATAAAACCAAATATAAGTTAATTAGCTAATTGTTTTATATTATACTTTATTAAATAGAATAACTAATAAACACCTGAATAAATTACTCTAATAAGAATGAATAAATCACGGAACATATTTCCACGAATAAACGTACCGCGCATTTTAATGTTCAATATCACCAAAAACAGGATCGAAGTCGCAGGATGTTTATTCGTGAAAATACGTTCGAAAATCTTTTAAAAGCCGATTAACGATCCACTCACCGATAACTGAAGAGAACCATTTCTTTATATCTTCTGAACGTATTTATCCATCCACCTTGCGTATTTACACGAATAAACTCCCTTATATATCTTTAAAACTGATTTGTTTGACCTCACATTTCAATGCGCCGGGTGTTTAGACGTGAAAATACGATGAGAAAAAGAACACCGCGCACTTTTTTTAAAAAAACAAACTGTCAACAATAAAAATTTCTTTTAAACTGAATAAATATACTCTCTGCTATCTATCTAGTCAAAATATTTTAAACGTGTGAACATGTTAATTTTCCCAGAAATAAAATTGCTTTGTAAACTTACCTGTCAGTAGGCACAAGGCGACAAACCATATAAGCCTCATTCCTCCTAAAACAAAGTAAAAAAATTTTACAAAAAAAAAAAAAAAAAAAAAAAGAATCACGGTAATTATAATTTGTGCAGTTTTCAATTTTTTTTTAAATTATTTATTTTACAATTAAACTAAATTATAAAAAACCCTTACGATAATTGATTGTTTACCTAAAATTTATTGCGGCCTATAAATTTCTATTAATTTTTTTTTTCGATTAAGTTAGCTCCAAATTGCAAGTTAATGCAGAAAGTTGTTACTTTTTGAATGATTAAATGTGGTCATTGACCAATCAAATGGTTGAGTGAACTTCTTTAATGTGCTGCGCCGTTTGCTTTCACGCTTAAGTTAGTTTGAAGCGTTCTAAAACAAACAAATTTAAGCTGCAGCAAAGTTATTTCACTTATTATTTCTTCAAACAGACAGTTAATTATAACTATCTTAAACATTGTTTATCATTGTTTAATTACAACACCAAAACAATTTTCCCTTCTACCTAAATCGTAACTTTTTAAAAAGTTTTATTTGCGAGGTTAAATCTTGATTAGGCGCCATTTTGAAATTAAAACGACATGTTGCAAGAAAGCATTTTATGCTAAAAGCATTGAATAAATGAACTCACATTCCTTGAAAAGATGCATATTAGCTGAGGTAACATATCTGATGTTATTTAGTGCATAGAAAATATTCCTGATGTTATTTATCTCATGGATAATATACCTGACGTTATTTACGTTGGTAATAATATACCTGATCATTTTACTCGAAGTATCAAATACTACTTTAAAAATTGAAATTAAATAGAAAAAATAGATTTAATATTAAAATTGTAGATTCTTTAGTCTTGAAAAGTGTTAAATTTAGTTAGCAATGAATTAAATGCAGATTTAGCAAGAAAGTTTTAGTTGAATATTTCAGTCATGTTGTCTTTATAAACTATTAATCAAAAACTAGAACGTCACAAGAACACTTACAACATTATGAGCAGATATAAGAACACTTACAACATTATGAGCAGATATAAGAACACTTACAACATTATGAGCATAGAGAACGCTTGTTTTAACACGAGGCATATTAAAGCAGAGAAAACGCCAAATAAACGCGCAACTCGTTGGAAAGAAAGAAACGAGATTTAATAAATATTTTCAAAGTTCAAAATAAAATAAAAACAATTAATTTAAAAAATATTTAAAAACTTTAAAATGGCTTTTTACTCCAATTATTAGAGACTTTAGAATTTTAAGGGAAATATGTCTGCGTGATTTTTATTCAAACAAAGTCTGTTTAATATTAAAAAATATATTTAATCATTTACAGCAATTCGAAGAAGAGTATTATAAAACCTAAGTTTTTGGGTAAACACTTTACTCCTAAAATTATAAAGTTTTTTTTTGTATTTTTATTTAAGTTTATAAAACTTTATAGTTTTTTAGATTTAAACGTTCTGTAAAATTGGTAAATGATAACTTAATGTATTTTCCAGTAAATTTACAAGTGAATTATTACTTCCAAATAAGATTTAAGTAGATTTGTTATTGATAGGCAGAACACTATATTTAAAAAGCATAGTTTAAAAAGACTTTGTATATGGAAGTTTGCATGAGTCAAATTCATATTTCTCCAAAATGCGTAAATATTTTCTATTACTTTAACAACTATATTTCTAATAAAATCTGAAAACGGTTAGATTAAACAACTTGGAGAAAATAAATGTATTCTTGACAATGTTTTATTTCTTTCAAAAATTGTTTTATTGTTAGTCATTCATAGTTATAATTTGCATATTATGTAAATTATTACTATGTATGATGCATTCAGTAAACTCCTTTGAGTTTAACTAAAAATATTTAGATTTTCATCTGAAATCTTTTCTTAAAGAAATTTAGGAAAGTTATTAAAAATCAGTTTTCTCAATTCATTATTGTTTAACAATCATTATAAAAATTTATAATATGTTTATAATAAAAAACTATTTAAGAAATAGGACTTCGTAATAAAATGTTGAAGTCTAAATTAATTAAATTCTTACTTTAAAATTTTAATTTTTATCAAATTCTTAATAAATATTTTTGTTATGATTATTATTATAATTTTTTTTTTTTTTTTTTGCATTTCACTTGCATACGATAAGATCGGCGTAGGGAGCATCCATAAAGTACGTACGCGGTAAAACCAGTAATTTAGTACACCTTCCCTTCTCTGTCCATGTACGCAATATTTTTTTACAAAATCAACCCATTAACCAAACTAACGCTGAATTTTTCAAAATATTAAAAACAAAACTTTTAGTACATACTGTCTTCCCCCCTCCAACCCCCAGATTAATTGGTTTGACTATCTCTTTTTCTTTCCTAAAACAAAAGCATGGCGTTTCTCGAGTTTAAAAAATCAATATAATGTTATATAAGAGAGAAATGTAAATAAACTAACTGTCTTAACCCTCACCCTCACCCCCTTCAGTTGTAAGCATTCGTACGTTTTTGAGTAACCCTCTCCCCCATACCTGCGTGCGTATTTTATGAAAGCCCCCATGAGCAAGTTTTACCCATTGTCATTTAACTTTCATTTTTGACGCAAATCTTGTCTTATTTTATAAGTCTCCACGCAATAATCTTTGTTAATAAAAACTAGCAATAAAAGATCTGTAAAACTGGTCGTTGGTATTATAAATTGTTAACTCTGTCAATTAGACTTTTCTTGCTATAGCATTCATAACAAAAAAAAAAAGAGGAATAATCAACAATAAATTCTTAACAAAATAAATTTATTTATAATCATTTTGAAAACTGAAATAATATTAATGATACTAGATATCTATGCAACTAAACATTAAAAAATAAAAAAGATTTAACATAAATAAAAGAATTATTATAAAATGTACAAAATGCAATTTATTATCCCTTCATTTTTAAGTCTTTAATAGCATTGAGTTGGCACCGTGGATAAGCATTTAAATAAATGGGTCATTTCAAAACAATAATAATCAAACCAATTTTTGAGAAAAACATTCAAACTTTGCATATAAAAATAAGGATTTTCAAAAAATTATTAAATATACTTGATAGTATCAAGTTGATACTAAAAAATTATCAAATATACAAACAATGATTTTCAAAAAATTATCAAATGTACTTGAAACTCAAACAAAGATGTATTAAAATTGTAGTTACCTTCAGATAACACGGTTTCGCGCTTCTTTGTCCAAAAATGATTTATGGTGTTTCAAAAATGACCCGTTCAAATACAAATTTCACACCTCTTTATTACCGATAATGCAAAATATGCTCAGAACTCGGATTTGAATCTGGATCTCTTGCTTCTCAAGTAAACGCTGTAACCACTGCTGTAATAAAGATCAGAGAGAAACAAAATTTGTATTTTTTCAAAGTAGTTAAATGAATAATAATAAAATAAACCATAATAATATTTTTTTGTGTGTGTTTTATGTGTATGTGTGTATTTTTTTGTTCTTTATTATAATCTTTAGACAAGTATACAAAAGAAAAGTTACAAATTAAGATATCATTATAAATAAAGAATAAAAAAATACAGAAGATAGAACGCGAAAACCCAAAGAATACTGAAAATTGTTAAACTCCAACAACTTTAGTGTTTTGCATCAACTCACACTGAAATCATTATTGAATGTCAAAAACGAATTCAATGGTGATAGTCAATAGCCTAAATTTTCTTTTTTTTTTCTTTTTTTTAATTTTATTTTTGTTTTAATTGTGCCAAGAAGACCTAACGGTCATATCACAGAGCACCGCGCCAAGAAGACCTAACTGTCTTATCAGCATTTAACTATGAAGTTCATGCCTTCTTCCCGACCAATGACGCGAAATATGCCCTAAGTTTGCTTCAAACCCTGGATCTCTTGCTTCTAAAGTAAGTGCTCTAACTACTGCCCCACAACTGCTTTTCAATATTGGGCCTTGGTCATTATTTTTGGAATAAAAATTATACAATCAGTAAAGCGATTTTAATCTAAATAAATCCGGACATGAATATGATCAAAAATTTGTTTAAATAAGTCGTACAATAAATAATGTTAAAATTTTGTAATATCAAAATCATACGATAAATAATGTTAACATTCATAGGATAAAAATGTTAAAATTTTGTATCAAAACTGAACTTATTTTAAATTGCTTTATTTACCGAATGCTCTTTTTTCTTTTTTTCAGAAAAAACTACAATCATTTTTTAAAGATTTAATTTTTTGAACAATGTTTTGCAGCTGAAACTAATTTTTATCACTTAAATTTTTAAAACTTCTAACGAAACACAAAATGTCTTCAAATTTCGTATAATTATTGGATTCTGTGTGTAAGCCCTGATTGAACGGAGCCAATAATATCAAAAAGTGTTTTGATTTTGAAAGACAACTTTGAAAAATTTACCTGAGTTGTGAATATTTGCTTCTACTAATTTTGTCTCTCTCACCCTGATTCCATTTCTAACGCATGCTGTAAATGTTGTTATAGAGTTTCATCTCAATGTTTATTATCTCAATGTCTAGAGTAGCACGGTGTGCTTCAATCAATAAAGTTTCATGAATTAATTAAGGCTGCTTGATCCAAAAAGTATCATAATAAATTCATATTTTGAAATGTATTTTTAAATTGTATACAGTTATGTTTTAGTTTGCGTTGTTAAATGAAATGACACATGTTTATTCAGGCATTTCTCAGTTATTTTAAATGCTGTGCAACAGGCATTCACCTTAACCATTGACACTTAATCTGATTGACACCTTCAATTTGAGCTGACTACAGATTTTAGACATTCCATTCAAAGAGAACGGAAGGTGTCGTTTTATAATGTTTGAGAAGCAGATTTTCTTATTGTTAATGATGGTGTAAGATGAATCATTCTTTTATTTTTCTAATTCATTGTTATGTTAAAATTTTAGACAAAAATTTTTTTTTGTCTAAAATTTTAACATAACAATTTGCTAAAGTAGTTTGTTCATTGTGAGAACAATCTGGAACATAGTGGAATAGAACAATCTGGAATGGAACAATCTGGAATGGAACTATAATTGAAAAGCTATTATCAAAAAAAAAATATTTTTTCGATTCTTGTCAAGACATTTTTTTCTATACAATGAACAAGTTAGATCAATAAATTCATTTTGAATTTGTGATTATGCCTAAAAATTATCATTCGAAAATCACCAATATTTTAATTTGAACCAGAAAAAACTAAACCATGTTCAAATAAAATAATATTTATTAAAAAATATTATCAAGATTTTTTTTTACCAGTATTCAGTTTTAGTCTTAAGTTTACCTATAAGTAAGTTAT